CAGGGCCAGCCCACCCCAATGTCCAGGGCACTTTCTGCCCAGGGGCAGACAGCACCCGTAGAGAGACCCCAAAGCCAGGGCAGAGCCAGGATCTGACGTGTCCTGCCGAATACAGGGTGCCAGGGGATGGATGCCAGCTGCCATGTGCCGTCTGCTTACTGGGCACGGTGGGTTATTTCAGCAATTAGGCCACCCCGGCAGATGGCTATTGATCACCAATTCAGAGACAAGAAAAGGGGAGCTCAAAGAGGCTGAGGCTGGTTCCAGGTCACGCAGCAGGAAAGGTGGAGCCGGGATTGGAGGGGTTGGATTCTGAGCCCACTCTCCCCACTAGGCACACCCTGCTGGCTGTGGGAGGCTGGGGTTGGGGGACATGGGGGCTATGTTTATTCTGCTTTTCGAGGGGCTACCCCAGGGCTGTGTCCTGTGGGGCTAGGTTGTTTGGGGCTGGGTTAGCCGCAGGAAGTGGGAGGGGGTGCTGGTAGGGGGACAGCCTCAGGGGACCTGGAGTACCACACCAGGGCAGTGGGGAGCTACAGAATGCCCTGGGTGGGTGGGGAAGCAGAAGGCCCTGAAGAGGGGTGGAGGGTGGACAGAGCCTGGCTGGGGTCAGGTTATTCTGGGGAAGGACAGACAATGCCCATGGGCAGGTGGCCAGAGTGGCGCCTCCACCTTCCTTGGTAACAGGTGGATTGGCCCCAACTGTGTGTCCACCTGGGACTGTGGGAATGAATTGTCACAGGGAGCCCATCTCCAGGAGCCGCCCCTACCCACAGGCGCCCTGAGTGAGCCTGGAGATCAGCGGTGCTGAGCACTTCCACAGACCCCTCCCGCCAGTCCCCACTTCACACGGGGCTGGCTGAGCCTGGTGGGCTACCCGGCTGGGCAGGGGCAGGAGGGGGCCTGTAAGTAGGAGTGTGAGTTTGCCCATCTGCTCACGCCTGCATCTTATCCTACCAGGGAATGGTAGTTTGGCGAGGGAGGGAGCTTCTAGATGAAATGTTCCCATGGATTTTGAAGACTTGACTTCCTGCCTCTTGCTGCCCTGTTGCTCTTGGGAAATGGTGTTATTCAAGTCCTGATCCAGTGTTCATGATTCTTAGGCGTTCCCCTTATCCTTGCTGATCTAAAATTCCTGCTATGCCCTGGGGAAGCTGTTTCATGCTTGTCTAGGCCCTGGCCACTCATGAGCCTTCAGTTCTGGGGAATGTTCTGGTATTATTTCTTTCACAATTTATTTCCTGTTTTATTTTTTCGTTCTCTTGTTTTGGAGATTTTTATTAATTGGGTGTCATACCTCCGAGATGAATCCTTTAATATTGTTACTTTTTCTTCTCTCTTTGTCTTTTTTTTTCGCTTTCTGGGATATTTATTGATTCTTCTGACCCTGCAGTGGAATTTTTTATTCTAGTTAATATAGTTTTTAACCTTTTTGTTTTGAGATCATCTCACACTCACTAAATTTTACACATTTGCCACGTTTGCCTTATTGTTATTTTTCTCTCTCTCTTTTCAGTTCTGAACCATTTGGGAGTCGGCCTCAGACACTCTGCCCCACCCCTTCATATGGTTTTCCTAAGAACAGGGACATCATCTTATATAACCACAGTACAGTGACCAAAATCAGGCAGTTTCACATCGATGTGACACTATTCATCTAATCTGCAGTCTATATTTCAGTGATAACAGTTGTCCCAATAATGGCCTCCATAGCACCTTCTCCTGACCTGCTCCAGGATCCTGGGTCACATTTAGTCTCATAACCTACCGCGTGTTTACTCCCAGGACCTCTCTCCTGTTCTCTGCGCCGTTTAGAGCATCTCCTAGAGGTGAGAAGATCTTTATTAAAAGCAGACCAGCACTAGTGCCTCGAGCTGAGCAGTGTGGCACTGTCTCCATGGGAGTCACTCGACAAAGGAAGGTGACCAAGTGCAGAGCCTGTCTCACTGTAGGACGAGGCAATGGTCCACTTCTGTTTTGTCCCAGAAATCAGAGACGGAGTCACTTCCTTTTTGGACCCCCAGCAAGGTTTCTGGCACACAGTAGGTACTAAATGAATGCCTGAGATTGTTCAACATGAGGGGTCTGGTTCGTGGGTGACGGGCTAAGCCTCTGCAGATACATTCAGCATTGTGCATGCATATCTGTGTGTGCATGTGTCTGTGCGCATGCACGTCTGGGCACGTGTGTGTGTGTGTGTTTGTGTGAAGGTGCACACAGATAGGGGGGTGGGCAGAGGCTGCCATGGTCTCTTGTGGAGTTATGAGCTCATGACTGTCCACACCAAGTGTTGATACATCTCAGCTGTGCACTTGTGTGTCTGGAAGCCCAGGTGGGCAGCTCACTCTCAGATATTCTTGTGAATGCTCCCCTCTTGTCCCAGGAATGTGCACATGTCCTGGGGTTTGGGTGTTGGAAGATTGCCCAGTGGTCACAGGGCACCTGGGCTTGCTTTGATGCTCTCAGTCCTGTCCTTGTGGTCCCTTAGGGGACTCTCAGCCTTGCTGGGGCCCAGAAGCCTCTGGTTTCTCACTCCCCTCTGCAAGGTGCTTTCCCTCTCCTCCCCTGCCAGACATAGCCCCCCTCCAACCTTACGATTTTACAAGAGACAAAAGCCAGGAGATGCCAGCTTTGGACCCTGACAACCCCAAGCGGGGGCTTCCCCAGCAGCTCTCCACTTGAAGTGGGCAGAGGCAGGAGAGGATCTCAAGGAGCTGCCTTGCCCTGATGGGGAATAGTCAGGGGTCATGAGGGATGGGGGGCGGAGGTAGAGGCAGGGGGTGGGGTGGGGGAGAGCAGGGGTCTTGGGAGACGGGTGTGGGGATGGGTCTTCATGTGGAGCCGGTCGGAGGCGCAGGCTGGGCAGCCCATGTGTGCCCACATGACACAGTCTGCGATGCGGCAGCCCCTTTCTCACACTCTTCATCCCAGCATCGCCCTCTCCCTCCTGCCCTGAGCGGGGAGCTGTCACCCTAAACCTGCAGGCCTCCAGTAAACCAACCCAGGCCAGAGTAACAGAAGTATGGGCCCCGCCTGCCCATGTAAGTGGAACTGCAGAGCAGTAGACTGCTCCACCATGAAAAAATCATGAGGCAACCAAGTTGTGAGCCTGTTTTCAGGAAGGATGCAGGAGGCTGGGCCCTGGGAGCAGGTGACAGGCCCAAGAGTGAGGAAATCAGGGTCTTGGGCAGTGCTCAGCACCACCCAGGCCAGCAGAAGGGCCCTCGCCTTGTGGGGCAAGGAGCCCTGGGGCCAGAGGGCGGAAGGGGGACAGCAGAGGTCCTGCTATGGGCTGGTCAGCATGGCCTGGCCGTGCAAGGGCAGAGCGCCCGGGGTGGGGCGGGACAGGAATGCCAACAAGAGCAGCAGCAGCCAGGGCCTGGGGCTGAGGCGGGGGCTCTGGACCCCGGGGAGAGGCTTCGGGGAGGTCCTCTGCGTAAAGTAACTCCCAGAGCCTCGTGGCCCTGCACGGAGGGCACGTCTGGCACAGCTCAGAGCAGGGGGCCAAGACCTGGGTCTGGGAAAGGTGTGGCCTGTGGAGGTCCCTCAGCCAGTGGGGCTGCCCTGGGCTCTGTCCTGGGCCATTTCCCAGTTTCCTGGGCTCCAGGCCAGCCGAGGCAGGGAGCGCCCCCTCCCCCAGCCTGCACACACACAGCCTGTGCCAGCTCATGCCACCAGCATCAGTGTTGCCCCAGGCACCCAGCCTGGCGCATGTGCTGGTCGCCATGGCAGCAGGCAGCATGCTGGCTCTAGTGTCCAGGGCCAGCAGTCTAGACATGCAGGGGCAAGAGTCTTCTCCCTGGTAGCCCCAGAGGGGCATGACTGGGTGAAGGGGGAGGGGGACCCTCCAAGCGGCCAGGCCTGCCCATCCCCCAGCATCCCTGGAGAGCAACAGTTTCCTGAGAGCTCTAGGGTGGACGCTAGGGTTCTGGGGGGCTTCAAGGCCCTCTCTTCTCCTGGCCCCAGCTGGATACTCACTAAGAGGGGCAGGGGGCCAAGGATTGGCCCTGGCCTTGTCTGCTGGGGGCTCTGACAGCTGAGGCAACCCCTGCCTTGCAGGCCCAGCTGCAGCCAAGAGGGTCCATCCAGCTGTGTCCATCTGCAGACGGCCAGTCCCTAAAGTAGGGGCCAGGGGTGCTGCTCGCCTAAATGGTCAGTGCCCATCAGGAAAAGGTGCCCCTCCCCAAACATGTTTAAGTTGGTGCATTGGGCAGCCTGACATCTGTGCCCAGGCCTGGTCCAGTGGTCGCAGATGGCATCCCTGGGCAGTGGGCACACTCCGGGTACATGCCACTCCCCCCCAGGGAGGGGACTACATTAGGTTCAGAGGTGAGTGGGGGCAGGTGAATGGGGCTCCCAGAGTGGCAGTGACTTTGGACGCCCCAGAGTGCGGGCTGGACAGGACACAGTGGTGGCCACGTTTGTGTGTCCCAAGTGGGTGGCTGCGTGGACACCCTCTGCCACAGGGTTGTGTGAGGTTCCATGCGAGGGGTGACCCCTATTGCCTGAGGATGCTGTGAGGGCCTGGAACACCCAGCCCACCACAGTCTCTTGTAAGTAGTGTACATCTGGGGTGTGAGTGGTGCCCCTGAAACAGATTCCCTTGTGCAGTGTACAGCCTGATCACCCTGCTGGGCAGCCATGAGTGGGCTCTGAGGCTGGGATCCAGGGCAGCATCTCCAGGGCCAGGGCTGGCCTAGCAGGTGGCCATGGCTCACTCTGCGCAGTCCCCATCCATGTGTACTTTCACACACACATGCCCAGACTGGCACATGCACTGCTGCATCTATCTGCAGAGGCTCAGCCCATCACACAAGAACCTCCACATCAAATATTCACAGACACTTAAGTACCTACTGTGTGCCAGAACTTTGTGGGGGATCCAGAAAGGAACCATGACCCTAGCAGGCAGGTGGGCGTGGGCCTTGGGTCCTTCGTTCCTGAGCGGGGGATCCATGCAAACAACCTCCCTCCAAGGACGTCTGGACTGGGAGGCCCACCTCTCAGAGTCTCCCTGTAGCCCAAAAGGCCACCCCTTGGCTCACACGCCTGGGTGACTGCCAGGCAGCCCCACCCCACCCCCACCTGGGGCTGCGGGGCCCCAGAATTGAGAGGCCACAGCCACTTCTGGTTCTGCTGCCAAGAGGCTGCCTGGAGCCAGGCGCACTTAGCACCTGGCAGCCAGGCCTCCTCCCGCTGGGCACATGATGCCCATGAGAGCCCTGCCAGCGCGTCAGTGCTAATGAGGCTGTCATGCTAATTGGGACATCCCGGGCTCCTTCAAAGCCTGGCTGGGAGTTGGGGTGTGGAGGAGAGGCCAATGCCCATGCCTGGGGGGACCACGGGCACAGAAGAACTGACGTACAGACAGCACCATGGCTTGTACCCCCAAACCAGGGACATTTCCTCGGCATTAAGGCTAGACTTGGGTCCCTGGTCCCCTGGGAACTTGGGGAGATTTTGTGTGGGCATCATCCCTGAGGAGGGGGTGCAACCCCAGATGGCGTCTTCCTACCATAGGGCAGGAAGCCTGGTCAGGCACACAGTTGGCGCCCCATGAACGTGTGTGGGTCACAGAGGTGGATGACACCAGCCCACAGAGAGAGCCCACCAGCCCCTCGCTCAGCCGACCCGCGGCACACACGGTGCTGTCTCAGGGATTTGTGCTCAGGTCTCCCCCTGCACCTTGCTCATGCCTCAAGTGAGGCGACAGGTCCCTGTTCTCAGCGTCTGCACGTGCCTGGCGAGGTCACTGCCCGGGGCTTGGAGAATGGAGGAAGGACTCTGGACCCCGTGCCCATTCCCTGGTCATCCATCCCTGTACCTGGCTGCCCTGCCCACCCCCTGGGGCCCACACACACCCAGCCCATGGCCCTTTCACTCTGCTGGACCCCCACAGCATGGGGCCCCCGTCATGGCCTTGAGAAGGCTGGAGGGTGCTGCCTGGAGCATCAAGGGCCCACAAGGATGGGGTGAAACTCTGGAGGCTGTGTCTGGAAGTACCCCCTGGATCCTGGCCCTGATCCCCTCAGGGAGGCTTGAGGGCCACATGCTATGATGAGGAAGAGGACACCAAGGCTGGCCCAGGCCCAGGATGGGCGGCTCTGGTTTCACTACTTGGCTCCCTACCCCTGAGGCAGGTGCAGGAGACAGACAGGCAGGGTGTGGCTGAGTCCTCAGTTCCAAAGATGGCCCCTCAGGCTCAGGGGGAAGGAGTGCAGCCAGGCGGCCCCAGCGGCTGGGGCTGGGAGGTGCCGGGAGTCAGGGGTAGCCAGGCATCGCTGCCTCTTCTAGTCTGCTGGCCTCATCCCTCTGCCAGAGGGCTTTGCCCTACATGGCCCCCTGGGACTAACCCCACAAAGACCCCAAAGTCAGGCCAGTCACTCCAGTGATGTGAAGGGCAGTTCAGGGGTGCCGGATGACATCTGCTCCACGCTCCTGCTCTTGTGTCACCCTCCAGTTGTGCAACCCATGATGCAGGGGTTACTGTCTCCATCATACAGCTGCCATCTCAGCCCAAACCAGGGCCCTTTCCCTAGGGCCCAGCACAGCCAAGCTGCTGGGCCCAGTGTGGACACAGCCGAGCAGCTGCCTCTCCACACCACCTGCACCCTGCGTTGGAGCTGGGTGCCATGGGTGCCAGCACGGGGACCCCTGGGTACTTGGCCCACTCACTGGCACCAATGCCCCCACCTGCCACTTTCGCAACTCAGGCCACTCTCAGGGAAGTATCAGGCCCAGGGCTGCAGGTGGCGGCCAAGGAGGCCGGCGCGTGACTTGGGCCGCAGGCCACCCAAGTGGGGGGCCTTGCGGTGCTCCTGGCAGCAGGAATCAGAGAAGCAGTAACTGGATCTGGCTGAGGATCTGGCAGCCTCAGAGGGTGGAGGGCTGTGATCGGGTTGCGGTCACGCTGCGAGTTTTCCACCAGCAGCCTTTTCTACATTGGGAAAGGGCTGGGCTGGTGAGTTCGTGCCGTGTGTCTGGGGGCCTTGAGGTCGGGGCAAGAAGAAGAGAGGCTAACAGGTGCGGAGACCACGAGGCAGGGCACAGGACCCGAGTCTTGGGCCCGGGCAGCCGGTGGCCAGGGCGAGGAGGTGATCAGCCGTGCAGCAGGCGGTGCTCCCAAGCCCTGAAGGCCCTGGGCTTTGGCCCCTGGTGCAGTCGGGAGTGGCTGAAATCCAAGCTGGGGTAATGAAAGGCAGCCGCTGTTCTTAAGCCGACACAGCTCTGATCCGCCCTCCCACCCGCCCTTTGCTGCCAGCTGGCCATGTAAGAGCTGCCTGGGCCCACGGCCACTGGTCAGAGGTGGCGTCTGAGCAGACAGTGTATCCATGACGCCAGCCAGCCTCGGGGGTCAAGGGCCAGCCCAGGCACACTGCACCTCTGGGGGACCTCGGGGGCTGTAAGCACTCAGAGAGAGCTTCCCAGGCCCCTTTTGGGGACCTGGGCCAGTCCTGAAGATGCCCACCAACAGCCTGCACCAGGTGCTGAAGATCCAGTTTGGCCTCATCAACGACACTGACCGCTACCTGACAGCAGAGAGCTTCGGCTTCAAGGTCAACGCCTCGGCACCCAGCCTCAAGAGGAAGCAGATGTGGGTGCTGGAGCCTGACCAGGGGCAGAGCCCGGCCGTGCTGTTCCGCAGCAGCCACCTGGGCCGCTACCTGTCGGCTGAGGAGGACGGGCGCGTGGCCTGCGAGGCGGAGCAACCGGGCCGAGACTGCCGCTTCCTGGTGCTGCCGCAGTCGGACGGGCGCTGGGTGCTGCAGTCGGAGCCGCACGGCCGCTTCTTCGGTGGCACCGAGGACCAGCTGTCCTGCTTCGCCACAGCCATCTCCCCGGCCGAGCTGTGGACCGTGCACCTGGCCATCCACCCGCAGGCCCACCTGCTGAGTGTGAGTCGGCGGCGCTACGCACACCTGTGCCCAGAGGAGGACGAGATCACGGCAGACAGCAACACGCCATGGGGTGTAGATGCGCTCATCACCCTCATCTTCCAGAACCGACAGTACTGCCTCAAGTCCTGCGACAGCCGCTACCTGCGCAGCGACGGCCACCTCGTCTGGGAGCCCGAGGCCCGCGCCTGCTACACGCTTGAGTTCAAGGCAGGCAAGCTGGCCTTCAAGGACTGTGACGGCCGCTACCTGGCGCCCATGGGGCCCACCGGCACACTGAGGGCCGGTCGTAACACGCGGCCTGGCAAGGATGAGCTCTTCGACCTGGAGGAGAGTCCCCCACAGGTGGTGCTGGTGGCTGCCAACCACCGCTATGTGTCTGTGCGGCAAGGTAACGGGCTGCCACAGGGCTGGCCACGGTGACCTCAGTGTGGGGGTCACATGGGGAAGAGGCATCCTGTCTGTGGGGGTGGGGACACATGTGTTGGCACACAGTGCAGGTGGGTGGGCTGTGGGCCGAGGCCCATATGCTTGGTTTGTCAGTAAAATGCGGGCAACAGTGTGAAAAAGCTTCTTCTGTGAGTCGAAGGAGATGCTGGACACAGAAGTATCTGTACATGTGCAGCTGGCGAGCGAGACTCGTGGTGGTGGTGTGGGTGGTGGTGGTGATGCGGGGATGGTGGTGACAGAGATGGTGCTGGTGGTGCTGCTAGTGATGGTGGTCATGTCAATGGTGATAGTGGTGGTTTTTGGTGATGATGATGGTCATGGTGGTGAGGGATGGTGGCTGTATGGACCACTTTTCATTCTCTGGACTACCCTGCAACTGACCCTGTCTCTTTGATGGGGGATCTCCCACCTAAGGACTGGATCTGCCTCCCACTATAGAAGCCAGAGGTACCCCCACATTCGGCTCCTGACTTCCTTGCAATAAGGCTGACAGTGTATGACCTGGTGCCCCAGGTGTTCAGACATTGACTTGGCAACCAGTGATTCGAGGAAGCAGGATGTGGCCTCTCACTTGTCTGGGAGGAGAGGGGTGGTGCCCCTAGATTCCAAGGCAGCCAGAGCAGTGGTGCCTTGATCCAGGTCATCTTCCTGGCCAGGCAGCCCCCAAGCCCGTCTTCCCCTGAGGTGTCTGTGAGCACCCAGGCTTGCCCGTTTTCTCCTCCTGATATCTCTCTTTTTGCGGCTTGTCTCTGCTGCACCCGCAGCCAGCCTTGCTGAGGCGGTGGTGCTGACCGCAGCACAGCAGTCAGCGTCTGTTGCTGCAAGTAACAGAAAAATAGCTGCAAACTGGCTCAAGCCACGAAGACATTGATTATCTCATATAAGGGGAGTCTGGAGGCACTGGGGCGGTGGGGTCCCAGGCAGGACACCATCACCAGCTCAGTGGTGTCCCCAAAGTCCTCCACTCTTTCCTCTTTGTGGAACCACTCTCCTGGGATAGCTCTGACTTCAGGCTGGTGCCTTGTGGTCACAAGCTGGCTGCTGCTGTTCCAGGCCTCACATCCAGACAGGACAAAGTCCAGAGAAAAGAGGGGCAGTGGCTCTTCTTGTGTCTTCTTAGGAGTAAGAAAACTTCTGCCATAAATGCCCACAGACCCCCTTTCTTCTTCACACCCACCGCTCAACCAACCCCTCCCGGGGAAGCGGGATCCACGCTCTTTGCTGGCCCTAACCAGGATTCTGTGTGCCTCTCCCACCTTGAGTTCAGGGCCCCAGAAGCAGATGGCTGTGTGAGATGGAGCCCGTGGGTCGCATCCTGTCTGGAGGGGGTGCATGGAGGGCAACACTGGGGATACCAACAGGGTTGGCCTCAGAGATGACAGTGAAGGCGCGCAGCCCCCACCTGGGGACTCCTGGCCCCACTCCTCCCTCAGTACCTGCAGGGATGGCTCCCTCACCTCCTCAGCCCTGCTTCAACGTCACCTTCTCCCTGAGGCTGTCCCTGGCTGAGGCCCACAGCATTCATGGGCGTTGGACACACTGTTCTTGTTGTCCACCGCTCCCCACAGACTATAAGCGCCAGGAGGGCAAGGACTGTTTTGTTACTGCTGATCATGGGCCCAGAGAAGCAGTGCTCACTTAGTTCAGTATTGCTGATGGATGCTGAGGATGGTGGTGAAAATGCTGGGCTGCCTCCTTTGCCTCTGAGCAGTGACCTGTGTGAGATGGGAGACAGAGACCAGCCTGGGACGGTTCTTGGGGGAGCAGCCTTTGGGAGCTGGTGAAGGGTGAGAGGTCCCACCCTCTCCATTATGGGCCCTGCCTGGTGCCTGCCCTTCCTTCCTGGAGGCTGGACAGGATCTGGCCCCGACCCTCAGGCCCTGATGGAGCTCTGTCTCCACTCCTTCTTGCTCCCCCAGCTGGACACAGAGTCAGGCCTTGTGGGAGAGCTCTGTGATCTGCCACATCCAGTCGTAGTGGCCAGTTGCCATGGAAACAGGGACATGGTTTCCGGGAAGAAACTGGGAAGGATCCAGTGCCTGCCAGCTGCCTCCCACCCTGGGCATGGATGTCCTCTCCGTCCCCCTCCCAAGAACCCCAGGCAGAGCCCCGGGTAGCCTTGCCCTCCCCAGGGCTTCTGGGAGACCATGCACATGTGAGTGGGGGGCTGGGGAGATGACAGGGGACCAGCTCCTGCCCGGTGCCCAGGAGTGGACCCCAGGCCCTGGCTGTGTCCTGGACCATGGCATGGGGAAGGATAGAGATCCTACTGTGCCCACCCAGTGTCTTAATGGCAAGTATAAAGAGAGGCTGGTGTAAGTCCTGGGTCAAGAGAGCAGGAGCAAGCAGATTACCCGATGATTAGCAGAGGTGGCGGATTTGCCGGCACGGAAGGGCCTGGCTCCTGGGGCTGTGGTAGGAGCTGGGTCAAGGACCTTTAGGGAGCAGTGTGGAGGGTCCGCAACCCTGGCAGGGCCCCCAGACCCTCTGAGAAGTGCCTTCCAAATCTTCCAAAGTCCAGAGGGTTCTAGATGAGACCCCCTCTGGCTTCAGGGTTGCCCCAAGAGCATGCCTCCCCACCCTTCTGCTCCCCACCCCACCCAGGGAGAGGCGTGAGGGGCTTCCCATCTGCTCCTCCAGGGGTCAACATCTCAGCCAACCAAGATGAAGAACTGGATCATGAGACCTTCCTGATGCAAATTGACCAGGAGACAAAGAAGTGCACCTTCTATTCTAGCACTGGGGGCTACTGGACCCTGGTCACCCATGGAGGCATCCAGGCCACAGCCACACAAGTGTGAGTGCCCTGCCCCCACCTCCACTACCACCTTCACCTCCACCATCTTCACCACCATCATCACCATCACCATCATCACTCCCACCTCCATCTCCACCACCGTCACTCCCAATCATTACCTCCATAACCACCACCACCTGTACCACCACCTCCAACTCCACCATGAAGACCACTGTTGCAGCCCAGCCAGGGAGGAATGCCCACTGGGGTGAGGGGCAGCTCTTAATGGTGGTGGGTGTGTCAGTGGAAGGCAAGTGTCTGTCCCTCCCCCTGGGGGTGGTACTGGACCTGAGAGGGTTGGGGAGGCCTGACCCTGAGCCTCCGTGTCCTGCTGCTCTGAGAGGACCTACCCTGCTCTCTCCAGTTCTGCCAACACCATGTTTGAGATGGAGTGGCGCGGCCGGCGGGTGGCCCTCAAGGCCAGTAATGGACGCTATGTGTGCATGAAGAAGAATGGGCAGCTGGCAGCCGTCAGCGATTTTGTGGGTGAGCATTCCCCACATGCCCTGGGGGACTGGGGCTGGGCTGTCTGCCCAGGGACAGCACCTGCTCAGAGATCTTGTCTCCACCAAGAGTGGGCCCCGCCTGCTCCCCATGGACCTGCTGCTGCCCCTGGCAATGGTCATACTTGCTGGTCAAGATAATCACTCTGGACATCAAGGGAGCGGTTAGATCCCAGAGCTCCCTTATCTCCGCTGCACATTTGGGGAATCCAGGGTTCAGTGGCAGCAGACCACTGTCAAGGTCACATAAGGCAATGGCAATGGCAGATCTGGCCCACAAGCTGGGCGTCCGAGTCTGGAGCTTCTCCAGGAGGAGCCAGTTTACACTCCCACGCGCTGCCGGCCCCTCAGCCCCCTCTCCCGCCAGGCGAGGACGAGGAGTTCATTCTCAAGCTCATCAACCGGCCCATCCTTGTGCTGCGTGGCCTGGACGGCTTCGTCTGTCAGCGCCGCGGCTCCAACCAGCTGGACACCAACCGCTCCGTCTACGACGTCTTCCACCTGAGCTTCAGCGACGGCGCCTACCAGATCCGAGGTGCGGGTGGGGTGGGCCGGAGGGGGGCGCAGGGCCGTGGAATGAGGGGGGTGCGGGACAGGGGTAGAGTCGGGGCGCGGAGCGGCATGGCAGTTCGGCGAGGTGGGATGGAGGCGCAGGGCCAGGGAGTGAGCGAGGGGCGCTGCCTAGGGCGGGATGGGGACGCGGGGCAGGGCCGGGGAGCCAGTGGGCCCCGCCAACGCCCCTCCCCCTCAGGCCGCGGCGGCGGGTTCTGGCACACCGGCAGCCACGGCAGCGTGTGCAGCGACGGCCAGCGCGCCGAGGACTTCCTCTTCGAGTTCCGTGAGCGCGGCCGCCTGGCCATCCGTGCCCGGAGCGGCAAGTACCTGCGCGGTGGTGCCTCGGGGCTGCTGCGCGCGGACGCGGACGCGCCGGCGGGGGTCGCGCTCTGGGAGTACTGAGCACGGGGCCCGCCTGTCCCGCATTAAACCATGTCTGTGACGCAGCGGCTCGGCGACTCGGTGGCGCCGATGGGGCGGGGCGGGCGCAGAGGGTTTGCACCTGGGGCCGCAGGCTGGGCCTCCTGTGCCCTGGGGTTCCTGCGGCCGTCGCTCCACCTCCCCATCCTCCACGCCCAGGAAATCAAGGGTGTGTGTTGGGGGGCTTGTCTGGGAGAAGGGTCCAGCCGATTGAGCGCCCCCTACCCCAGGTCTGGACAGCCACAGCCCCGGGCCTCCTCTTGTCCTGTCCCCCCCCCAATGCCCCCCCCCCCGCGGGACGCCTCAGCACACAGCTCCTCCCCAAAATGAAGAGAGAAAACCCCCCCTCCACCCAGTGGGACCAGGGTTGGGGTGGGACAGCTGGGAGGAGCCTGGTCCCATGCCCTAGCAGGTCAGGCCGGTTGGAGCGTCTTTGGGGTGACCGTGTCTCCATGGAGCACATCACTGCTCCCTTCCCCAGGGACAGGGTCTTAGGGAATCCCGGAAGCACCGGATGGAGAAACAACCCCCACCCCTCCCAAACAGGGCCCCTCTCAGCCCCTGCACCCACATGGCTGCCACCCAGCCCAGGAAGGGGGCTCCAGGCCTCCCCCCCACACACAGACCTGGAGAGTCCTCACTTGCCTTGCCCCAAGCAGGCTGCCCACCCTATGGCCAGGGTGGATGACAGGACAAGGCCCATAGTTCACCCAAGTGTCTCCCCAAACCAGCCAGCACCCAGAATTCCTCAGCCCCCAAGGACCACAACCCAGGCCAACCCCACTTGGATGTGCTGGGTGACCTGGGCCACTAGAGGTGGGAGGTGGGAGACAGCCTGGGGAAGGCCTAGAGCCTGAAGGGAGGGTGAGACCACGGACGAAGAGGACCTCACCCCATGCAGATGCCCTCGCCACCCTTCCCTACACCTATGCCCCTCTCCTGACCCCAGGCAGCACCTGCCTGAAGCACCCCTCTAGTGAGTCTGGCCAGCATGGGTGGAAGAGAGGGTCAGCGGGGGCTGGGGTACTGTGGGAAAGGAGGGAGGCAGGGAGGGGGCACAGCATTTCCAGGGGAAAGTGGACTTGCACAGCCAGGGAGAAGGAGGGGGCCAAGAGGACCAGCTGGGTCCCCCTCAGCCTGCTCCAGGCCCCACTGCCCTCCTCTCCCCATAGGGACAAAGAAGGGCCAAGACTGAGCGGGCTGGCTGGTTGGAGGCCAGCACGAACCAGACATCAAAGCCCAGTGGGCACTGAGAGGACAGGTGGTGCCTCTGCCTGCACTGCCCCCTGGAGTCCTCTGGGGCGGGAGGGTTGGGGGCCCACCTGCTGGGCACTTGAGGCCTGAAAGGAGGTGGCCCCAGGCCTGGAATCACAAGGTGCTCCCGCAGGTGCCTCTTAGGGCTCCCCTGACCCTGCAGGGTGTTGAAGAGGGGTCTCCCTTTTGCTGACCTTGGCCAGACAGTGCACATGGCCTCAGACCCTTGCTGAGCCCATGCAGCCCAAAGCAGTGGCTGGAGAGGAGTATCTAGAGGTCCCCAGGAGGGGCCAGCTGGGGTGGCAATAGGACGCCCTGGACCCCTTGGGATGGGGAATAAAGGCCAGGACTGGAGAGAGGAGACACCCTGAGGCTGAGGCAGGTGGGAGCTATATGCAGGGCACAGAGAGCTCAGTGTAGATGTCCCGTGGAGGCCAGCCCAGGGCCTCACACACAGCAGGGATCAGCAAAGGGGCGCCCAGTGTCCAGCATGATGCCCATCCTGCTACAGCAAGGCTGCACTCTGAGTGGCTGCGGGGGGGCACTCAGTAGAGCACCCAAGCAGGTGAGGGCTCCTGGGTCTTGGTTGTGGTCCAGGCAGCTCCCCAAGAAGCTCTCCGGGGACCTGTCGCCTTCCCTTGGCTGTGTGGCCTGAGGCCTCCACCCTGCCCCTTTGTCTGTGGATGTCCAGGTGGGTTCTTGCAGGTGGCCGAGTGAAGCATCACAGCTGGGTTCAGGTCTGTCATCCTGCAGCTTCTCTCCTGTTTGTCTTCCTGCAGCTTCTCTTCTGTTTGTCTTCCATCCCTCCTTTCTGCCCCCTCTTAGATTTATCAAGTTTTTTTTTATTATACCATTTTACCTACTCTTGGCTTTTTAGGTGTTCATGGTTTTTCTCCTTTTCTGGAGACTATGGTGTACATCCTTAACGTGTTACGGTTTGCCTTGAATGGCTGTCACTGTGCCCACATCACTCGGGCCTCCGGCCAGCAGGCAGGGGGAGCGGCCCTTCTTACCACTGCCCCTGCTCAGTACCTCAAAGGCACTCATTTTTTCAAACAGACCAGCGCCAACGCCCCAAGAGGGTCATCCTCAAGAATGAACCAGCAGAGGTGCAGGCCGGCCAGGAGCGCTGTCTTAGCTGTTGGGCCATCACACCTGTGTCAGGAGCTGCACAGTGGGGAGTGGGGTGGCCCAGCAGGCCCCCAGTGCCTGGGGAGCCAGTCCAGTGCCGCTCTTCCACACACCACATTGCTGCCCGCTGCCCCTGCACAGCTGAGGCTCACGGAGGTGGATGGCATCACTGCTCTGGGCCAAGACCCTGGTAGGGGGCATGGCAGAGGGGCAGGTGGTGTCCTTACCAGTCTCCTCCAGCTCCCATGATCTAGTGGCAGCTGGCTCGGGTCTGGGTAGGTAAGCTCTGCAGGTCAGCTTTGGGCTCCCTGCCGCCTGTGCTGGTGAGTGGGGGACCTGGGGCAAGGACATGTCATCCTTCTCTGAGGCATGCAAGTGCCGTCCTCTGCCCATTCATAAAGGATGGGTCTGTTCCAGGGCCCCTGTGGGCTGGCCTGGCCATTCCATCCTTCCCGTGGCACTCAGAGATGTGACATGAGGATGAGCCTCAGAAACAGCTGCGGACAAGGCTGCTAACGGGGTGCGGGCCCTCCCTGGGACAGGCTGGGTTGGAGCCCCCCTCCAGGCTGTGTGAGGACCACCCTAAGCCAGCAGAGGCCCCAGGTGAGCCCACCTGCTTGAAGGAAGCTGTCACAGCTGCTCCCAGCAAACACAGGAACAAGGGCAATACTGGGGGCCTCCCTCTCTGCCCTCCCTCATCCCCGGAGAACTCTCCAGCACAGGGTCCATGTGGTGACCACCCCCTTTCTCAGCCTCTGACTCACAGCCTGCACCAGCCCCTCTCCCTCTATAGAGGGCAACCAGGAGGTGGCCTCGGTCCCCTGGGAGGGACCCTCATGCCCTGATTGGCTAGATGGGCGCTGCAGGGACCACTTCATTTGTGGGCTTCACCCCAGTGCTAGGGGCTCCCTACTGGCCCCAGGGCCACGGAGAAGCCCGTGCAGGGCTCATCCAAGCGACATGGAGTGGGGGGGCAGCCAGGAATGCAGGTCAAAAGTGCCACCTAATAGAGGGGGAGGGGTAAAAAACCAGTGCAGGACGAGGCAGCTCAACACAAAGGGTCAATGTCAGGTGGGGGCGCCTCACAGTGGGATGCCGCATGCACACAGAAAGAGCACTGTCACCTCCCGAAATGCAAAGAACACCAGCACCGGAGGCAAGCGGGCTACTGCCCAGGTTGAGGGGGGCAGCTGGGGGCTGCGCCCACCCTGAGAGACCTGAAAACAACGCAGTGCTGGGTGTCCGGTGCAGCTGGAGGCACCTAGCTGTTGAGTGTTCTGGCCATAGGCCCCCAGAGGCCACTGGGCACTTCCAGGAGCCGCTCCCTGCCCCCACTCTTTGTGCTTCAGTTGCAGTGTGTGCCCTCCGGAGAGGCAGGCCAAGGCACCCAGAGCCAGATGAGAGGTTCCGTGGGTGGACGGGGGTGCCGCCAGGAAGGGCAGCACAGGTCTCTAGGTGGAGAGGTGGGAACACATACAAACCGGCCCCAGGCCCCAGCCCCAGAAACCCTGTTTCCGCATGGCCTCTGCAGGCCGCTCGGGCAATGATGCTCCTGCTGTGGGGTCCAGACTCTGTATCCTGGGCCTGACTTCCAAGCGGAGGGGATGTCGCTGATCCAGCCCAATGCTCTGGGTGGGAGACTGCCCAGCAGTGACCAGGTTGCATGCGGAGGCCATGGGCAGCTGTTAGAGTAAGGGAAAGGACCGATGTGGATGGAGGATAGGAACTGGGGAAGGGGGACAAGGATGAGTGAGGGCAGACCTGGTGCCCAGAGGGCTCAGATACCACTTTGGCTGCCCTCAACGACTCACTACACGCTCCACTTTCTCCAATCACACCCACCCGTGAGGGCAGCCAAGCGGCCATTCAGGGGCCAGGTACCCTGTGTTCTGCTGTGCAATAGCCAACCTCATCCCGTCCCCCGACTTTCCCTGCCTATAACGAGGCCAATATGTGCCTCGTGGGTTGTGAGCAAGAAGTAGCCTCTCGTATTCTGGGTTTTTCTCCATAAAACCACAAAGGCACTGTGAGTGGTCAGAGGGGCTGGAAGTGTGGACAGACCCGGAGGAGGGGCGGGGCCCACCTGCGTCACAGCAGGAGGAGGCTGGGGCTGCGAAGCTGCCTGTACACCTGCAGGAGCCTCTCAGCGGTGGTGCGGGAGCGGGCTTCGTCCTCCATGCACAGCCGGTCACGCAGGGTATGCACCTCCCGCAGCAGCATCTGCGGGTGGAGGTGAGCAGCAATGGCTCAGGCCCCCACCTTCCTGCTGGGCATGGCATTGGGTCCCTCTGAGGGATGCCCACCATGCACACATCCTACTTGGGATGTGGTCGTTGGTCCAGGAAGAACACTCATCTGTGACCTTACAACGTGGAACATGCAGCCTGGCTGGCAAGAAAGCTGGCTGGGCTGAGGGGAGACGAGGGTCCTAGCCAAGGTGGAGCAGGTAGGAGGAACAGGGCAGACAGAAGCCACTGCGCCTACCCTGCCCCCCAGCTCCCATAAGGGGAGCCAAGCCCACAGCCCAACCTGGCTGTGAAGAGCGCCTGCGTGTGTCCCCAGAGGAGCCCGGCCAGCGGTGGGAGGTTCAGGGGATGGGACCACCGAGGGGCCTCACCTCGTGGTTGGCCTGGATCTGGCGGAGACACTGCACACGGAGGTCAGGCGGGCTGGAGCCCTGGGCAGCCTGCTCCATGACCATCCTCTGGGGGGACACAAGGGACAGGTCACTGGAGAGAGCGCTTCCCACCACCTGTCCTCCACTCCTCAGAGCCAGGCAGCCCCGCCCCTCCCCTCCATCTCCTTGCCCCCCGCTGCATCATCTCTGCTGTTCCTGCTCCAGCGGCAGGGCCTGACCTGACGGCTACTTACTTGAAAGTAACTTTCAGTTCTTTCCCCTTTGCTGCCCGACCCCCTTGTCCCCACAGAGCCACCCCTTCTCCCATCCTTGGCTTCAGGCCTGGGTCCCTGCTCCTCCTGCCCTGTCTCCATGGCCCTGACTTGCACCGTTTGCACCTTCACTCCGCGGCCCACTCAGGGGCTGCTCCACGCCCTGCTTTCTGGAGGAAGCCCAGCGGCTCCCAGGGCTCAGATCCAAGCTCCCAGATGGGGCTGGGCAGTGAGGCACCTGTTGGCTTCTGAGGCGAAGCACTGAGAAGAGATCCCGACACCCCAAGGGGCAGCAGGAGGGGCCAGCCCGCAGCAGACGCTGCACATCTGGCAGGGTCCTGACAACTCCGCGCAGCCAGGTGATGAATGCCGTTCTCACAGAAACTCCCGCAACAGAGCTCGGTGTCAGCTGACGAAGTACAGACAGGTCTGTAGCCCACGTGGACTCCCATCAGGGGAGCGTCTACAGCACTATTAGGAGCTGAACTCTGACCACAAGCATTCACAGGTGGAAGCCCTACTCCCACTACCTCAACACATGACTGTCTTTGCAGACAAAGTCTTTTCCATGATCAAGCCAAGGTGAGGTCGTGTGGGCGGGCCCTGATCCAATCTGACTGGTATCCTTATAAGAAGGGATCAGGTCACAGACATGCACAAAAGGATGACCACGTGAGGACACAGGGAGGTGACAGCTGTCTGCACGCCATGGAGTGAGGCCACAGAGGAACCAAGCCTGCCAGCACCTCGATCTCGGACTTCCAGCCTCCAGCACTGCTTTCCTCTTTTCGCACCCCATCTGTGGTACCTTGTCATGGCAGCACCAGAACACTAACGCCCCTACTTCTTGCTGGAAGTCCAGTCAGCACGCTTCCTCCCCCAGCTTCATGCTAACCATCCACCTCTTGGCCGCCACACTTGGCACAGTCTGCAGATGGCCCTGCACACGTCAGGCCCCGCAAGAGGATGCTGATGATCTGTTTGGCTCCTCTCTGGGGCAGAGAAATGCAGGTCCTAGAGCTCTGCTCTTGACAGGGAATGGGAACCATTCCGGGGACTGGGTGTCCCCAGGGGGCAGAGCCTTGACAGGTGGCACCACTGCCCTAAAGGCCATCTGGACGGCTCCAAGTGTTCATGACTAGATTCCTGAGCCAGGCATGAAGCCATGTGGCAAAGCGGGCCCATCACAGCACTGATCATCAGGGTCCCAGCAGGATCACGGTCACAGTGCTGGGTCACAAGCTCAAAAGAGCCATAGTAACTCATGGCACTGTGTGAGTGGTCATCACGGTCACAGTGGGGTCACAGTGCTGCGTGACATGGCCATCGGGGCTGTCGACTGGTGCCTGCCTGGTCTGATGCAGAGCATCTGGCTGCAGCTTGGCTCCTGTGCTCGCCTGGGCACACCAGTGGGTCTGGAACAGCAGCCCTCAGCTCCTTGTCAAAGCTCAGCTTGCAGGTTCTCTGATTCTCAGGGTATGGGGTGGAGCCTGGGAATGAGCACTGATAATGAGCTCCCAGGTGAGGCTGATACAGAGACCACACTCAAGAAAAATCATCAGGGCCGGCCCAGTGGCTTAGTGGTTAAGTGCGCACGCTCCCCTACTGGCGGCCTGGGTTCGGATCCCGGGCGCGCACTGACGCACCGCTTCTCCAGCCATGCTGAGGCTGCGTCCCACATGCAGCAACTAGAAGGATGTGCAGCTATGACACACAACTATCTACTGGGGCTCTGGGGGAAAAAAAAAAAAGGAGGAGGATTGGCAATAGATGTTAGCTCAGAGCCCATCTTCCTCAGCAAAAAGAGGAGGATTAACATGGATGTTAGCTCAGGGCTGATCTTCCTCACAAAAAAAAAAAAAGAAAGAAAAATCATCAGAACTGGTTGACAGCTGCCACTGCAGATCCCTCTGTGAAGCCCGGGGTGCCACAGTCAGAACAGGTGGGAGGAGACGGGCCACCCAATCCTGAAGCCAGGGCTGTGCCCTGCCAAGGACACCAACTGACAGATTTTCACTTGGAACACAAGGACCTTCTCAGGTCCAGGAGTCATGGCCCAAGCACCCTGCACGGCATTGCAGCAGCCTGCTCCTGTGCCAAGTGGCAGAAGGGCCCCAGGGCCGCGTGATGGTTGGCCACCAACTCCTGCTTTCTTGGCAAAGACATGGAGGCTCAGACAAGCAGACACTTTGTCCTGGGACCTGCGCCTAGGGCGTGTGACCCAAGGGCACAGCCTCTCCACAGGGCCTTTGCTTGGCCAGGCAAGTGCAGAAAGCTCCAGCTGACCACAGCAGGCAATAAATGGAAACATTTTCCTTTCACCTATCGGCCACATGGCTTCACGGCTGCATTAAGAGCCAACGGCACACCCAAAAGACAGCGTCTGTTACTGGAGGATAAGCAGCAAAGTTCTGCCACATGCCTCCCAGCTGCCCACAGCTCACCTGCATGACATGTGCACGTGGGAGAGGAGAGGTGGGTGGAGGGATTGTCCTGCAACCCCTGTGGCAGGCAGCCACAGACCACCACAGACCACCACGGTCCCATGTCCCCACCACCCGGCAGAGACTTCCCCAGGGGGCCCATGATGGGCTGACACACCTGCATACGCCCGATGACAGCGTGGTGAGCCCTGCACATGTTGGCCAGAGAGGAGCTCTCCACCTGGATCTCCATGGCCTGGATGGGCCCTGCCAGGCACAGGTCAGTCACCACCACCTGCAACAAACAAGGAGCCTCGCTGCCCGTCCACAGCCCTGCCCAGCACAAGGGTGGCTGGACCTACAAGAGCCTCTGAGCCAAAAGGAGCACGTGAGGCTCTGGTGGCCCCAACCCCCTGGCTGTGCAGCCCCTCTACACCCTGTACGTGGGCAAAGCTGGGTACAGACGGGCTCTCGGACCTGGGTCATCTCCCCCAACATTAATTCCTACCTGAAGAACCAGCCAGTCAACCAACAGCGAATCTGCTCATTTGGAAACGTGTGCCCAGGAAGAACCCTATGCCCTCAGTATCCCAACCCATGGCACTCACTCCAGAATGAAGTGACTACTGCCCACCCCCTCCACCACCGCCAGGCCCCAGAATCAGGCCCAGGGACGCCCCAACCAAGACACGCTGGCCTGGTCTTGGCCTGGCCTGAAAGGGCTGTGCAATGGGCAGCCCCCACCCACTGCCCTCAGGGACGTGTGTCCTGGCTGCCTGGGCTACTCTGCGAGAGCCTCCAACTCTAGAAAGTGCAGGTCTGCTGGGCATGACCCTGGTCCACCTCCAGGAGGGTCTTGGGAAGGAAGGTGTGGTGAGGGGGCGGGGCTGGAGGACCAGCATCTCTGGTGCCCATGTAAGCAGCTTCCAGGATGGGCCTGGCGCCCCCTGGTGGTCTATGGGTTAGTGACTCGGGCTGGTGACGGTTGGTGATGCTCCTGGGGTACAAACCATCATGGAGCAGCACTGGGAGACCCAGCTACGAGTTCCAGCAGTGCACGGGGTGGCAACCCACATGTGGAGAGTGTTGGACAGGCCGCTCCTCACGGGGACCTAAGATATGAGGCCGACACGGCCTCTGGCCCTGCAAAGGCTGCACCATTACAGCTGTGCCTCCACCTCCAGTGTGCATCGGAATCCTCTGGAGGATGGGTCTGAGAATCTGATTCCTCTCAAGCAGCCCAGAGATGCTGATGGCCCAGAGACCCCCTCTGAGCACCGCTTTCCCCACAGACAGGAAAGCTGACCCCCTGCTTGCCTCACGGACAATGAGGTGGACGTCAGTGCCATCTGGGGCCACTCCCTGTACAGAGGACAGTGCTCGGGCCCTCAGGATGTCCACAGCAGCATTCTCGGCCAGGAGCCACTGCAGGGTGGCACAGCACAGGGACACACCTGGAGGGAAGAGGTGCCAGCCATGAGCTTGGGTGGATCCTGGGAGAGGGAGGAACAACCCCACATCCACAGGCCTCAAGACCAAAGGGAAGCCAGTCAGCGTCACCAACCTGAGTGACTGTCCCCCAGGGTGGCCCTCAGCAGCTCCACTGACATCTTGATGGCGGCCACCGACGGAGGCAGGTACTTGGCCTGCAGAGACGCAGGTCCTGCCAGCTCGCTGCCTGGCCCAAGGCAAGCTCCCAGGAAGGTGTCTACGGGGTCGCTGGCAGGGCTGAGTGGGCCAGGGGCCTGCATGTGGGGTGTGGCCAGGCTGGGGAAGCGCAGGCACTGCAACATGTCCACCGTGTGCTTGCTCAGGGGCAAGCAGATGCCCTCCTGCTCAGGCAGGACATCAAGAGAGTGCTCATCCAAAGAGGGGTCGTTGAAAGAGTCTGAGGGGATGAGGGCCCCGCCCACGACCTCCCTGAGGCTGTAGAAGAGTGTGCACGACACAGTCACGGGCAGATCGAGCACGCCGTCCTCGCCAGGGCCCAGGGGCAGTGTCACCTCCCACCGACTGCCAGGGCCGAGTCGGTCCACGGGGATGGTGTAAGTGACCGCCGAGCTGGCCAAGTCCAACTCTGAGGCACGGGAGCTGGTGAGCACCTGGACGCACAAGGCCCAGCCCTGGTCCAGGCTGAAGTCACTGCTGTTCTCCAGCAGGCAGGTGGCTGTCAGCATGTCCTGCAGCTGCAGGCGGCTCCAGGACGTGGTGGTGGTGCAGGAGATGGGCCTGGGGCCCTCCTCAGTTGACAGCAGGGCGCAGCTCACGTTCATGGCTTCATTGAGGCACGTCAGGGCCTTGTTGCGCTGGTCAACAGCCTTCTTCAGAGAAGACACTCTGAAAAGAGCACACGTGCCACCCAAGGGAGGGGCAAGGAGCCACAGTGGTGGGTGTGATGTCCCCTACGCCCAGGGTGGGAAAGGACAAGAACTTGGCTCCTTGACAAGCACCAAGGGAGGAATAAGCCCCAGCCTCGTGAAAGCAGCTCTCCTTGTCCCGTCTATGCCAAACCCTGTTGAAGCTGTCCCCAGCCATCTGACCCAACCACTCCTCTTGGGCAGCAGGAGGACAGAGGATGGAGCTGGTGCAGCCGGTGCTCATGGGCCTGGCCTAGCCTACCGGGCTCATGCAGCCTGCCACCCTAGTCAGGGCCACGTAGGCCAGGTGGTGCCCGCAGGGAGCTGGATACGGCACCCTGCTCCTCGCCATGTTCCAAGTTGGCCCCTTTGCTCCTCTGCTCCACCACCGTGACAGCCTGGAGAGTGGCAGATGCTACAGAAACAGCCCTAAGCTGCAGAGGTCTGGAGCCTATGGACGCTCACTCAGGGCCATGGCAGGGCAAGTGAGGGCAGTGAGAGGAGCCGCTTTCTCTCTCAACGGATCAGAGGACAGGGCTGCTGGTGCCTTCACTGAGGGCAGGGACGCAAAGGCCTCTGAGAAGAGGGGGTCCTGGGGGAGAGCTGAGGAGTCAGCATGGAGGGCCCCCTACGCCCCCTACCAGGGAAAATGTGGCATGGTCAGAGAAGATGGTGGAGGTCCCTTTCAACTTCCGAGGCAGCCGGCCTTTAGTGCAGCCTTTTGCCAGGCAATGCAATGTCTGGGGTTCTTGCTGGGGGCCAGAAGCAAAGGAACAGGCCTGGTCCAGACCAAGACCACTACCCAGGATGCCACCACCCAGGACGCCATCTCCTGAGGACGCAGCACCAGCCTCGGCCTAAGCCATAGCCCAGCTGCTCACCTCTCAGAGACGGTGAAAATTCCAGAGAGAAATTCCTTGATTTTTTGGCCAGTGTTTGCTGCAGTCACTCTGGTGGGGCAAGGCGTCTCAGAGTTCAGGTCTAGCCTGCAGGTCATCAGGCGGCCTTTGGCAGACAAGGCCAAGAGCTCAGCGCCACCTGAAAATGGACACATATAGGGCCTGGTCAACAGGCGGAGAGGAGCAAGCTGCTGGGAACACCCAGCAGTGCCCCCGGGACCTGAGACAAGTGTTGGCAGAAGGCCAGTACCCAAGTGATGAAGAGAGGGTCCTCGGAGACATCCCTGAAGAGATGACCTGAAGAGCCCTGGCCATGCGCCAGAGGCTGGGCAGAGCCACTACCCACATTCATCTCACACACATATTCCCGAGGGCCCTCCCTGGGAAGGGATGTCAGCACAGCAGAAGCAGCACCTTGGTGGCGTCTGGGCGTATCTCATGTGGACAGGACTAAAAGGGGCCAAACAAGGACCTATGTGGGCCACCACATCAGCTGGGCATGCTTGACCTTCAACAGACCACGAGCAAAGTTGCCCAGACGTTTCCAAAAACAAGTGAGTGCGGGGCAGGCCCCTTGCCCTCCCGCTGCTCTCACTGGGGCCTTTCTGAAAGCCTCTGTCTCTCTAGCATCATTCTGCTTCCTCTCCAGCTCCTGGGCTACCAGGCAGCTCTCGAGGAAACAGACTTGATCTCTTGCTTGTCGCCCAAGCCCAACAGTGCTGAGGCCCTGAGCCCCGCTCTGAGGTGGAGCAGCTGACAGGCAGGCCCCTCCCTCAGCTGAAGGACACACACCCAGGTGAGATCTCCGTGCTCTTCCCTTCCCTGCCACATGCAGTCCTCCTTCCCTGTGGGAGAAACAGTGGCCTTTCCTCTTTGAGGCATTCCTTTTATGTTGAGTATGGTCCACAGCAGGCCTTATGACGCACTCAAGGGCTGTCTTTTATTTATTTATTTATTTATTTAATTTATTTATTTTGTGAGGAGATCAGCCCTGTGCTAACACCTGCCAATCCTCCTCTTTGTTTGCTCAGGAAGACTGGCCCCGGGCTAACATCTGTGCCCATCTTCCTCCACTTTATATGGGACGCCACCACAGCATGGCTTAACAAGCGGTGCATTGGTGCGTGCCCGGGATCCAAACCTGCGAACCCCGGGCCGCCGCAGCGGAGCGCGCGCACTTAACCGCTTGCACCACCCGGCCGGCCTCTCAAGGGCTGTCTTAACGAGAATATGCGCTGGGGGGAAGGTGGCTCTACCTTCTTCCCCCAATACTGGGCAAGCACAGCCAAAATGCTCTCCAGAGGCTCTGTCTGGGGAAAACAAACACCGGGAGCTCCCCGGTGCCGCCCACCCTCAGGGCAGGGTGGGCTCGGCAGCAGCCACAGGTAAGCATAAGCGGAGCAGGTGTTTTCTTGTCTTTGGAAGAAATGTAAGGCTTGACCTAAACCAAGTTGAATTTCCCCTAGAGTACCCTCCACGTAAGACCTGGTCACGGAGAGACACGCTCTTGCCCTGGGTCACCCAGGTCAGACCCCACCCAGGCAGGGCGGCACACCTCCTGCCCCTAAACCCACGAAGAACACACACAACCAGGCACTCCCTGACCCCCAAACAGGAAGTGTCGACCATGAGGCTACAGCAGGTGAGAATAGGCCTACCCCATCAGCTTTATGGAAGACAAGAACGAGGCAAGGAGAAGACGACGAGGCAGTTCACAGGGGAGAAGGATGCCAAAGGGGAGGTCCCACCCACCCTGAGGCTTTGGTTTTTCAGGTTTAAACAGTGGCTCGTACCTTCAGGTGCCCTAGGTGACACAGACAGGGTGACAACGCTGCATACATTCAAGGTGGTTGGACACAGCAGAGAGGGCAGGCCTCCTGGGCTGCCATCCGGCTGTGTGGGGTCCCAGGGAGTGCCTCTCCAAGCCAGGTCCACCACACAGAGGTCTGAGGGGGTGCTGTGGTACATGCAGCTGCCCCTGCCACAGGCTGCACAGAGCACAGGCCCCGGGAGGCAGTATTCCCGCAGCACTGGCACCAGATTTCCAGCCTCATCCCAGCTGGCCTTCATGACCAGTGTCCGGCCATGGTGACCAAGTGCCACCAGGCAGTCAGAGTGTGACTCCTCCACGTCCTCAGCCAGCAGCTCTGTCCTCAAGGCCCCAATGAAGACAACAGGCTCCTCCAGGTGATGGAGGATCTTGACAAGGGCCTTCGGGTCACCAGGGGCCAACCTGGAGGTGACTAGGGTCTTCAGGACCACACAGCAAAGGTGGCCATCGGGGAGACCGCAGAGGATAACGGGTGACTCCAGGAGGGAGGCGTCAGCTCCAAAGAGTAGCCCAAAGAGGGTCTCCTCCAGCGTGAAGCCCCCGGATCCCCGCAGGTGGCTGTGTAGGACTCTGGAGCCCTGCGGTGACACACAGCACAGTACTGGGAGGAAATGGGGGGCTGTGGGCTCCCTGGGGCTCCCAGCTGGGGGGATGCAGGTGGATAACTCCACCTCACCGATCTGGCCTCTGGGCCTGGGGTCCTCCCCTGGACAGGGACACTTAAACAGCTGCATCTTCCACTGGGTGGGGCCCTGCGCCAGGGTGATGAGCACGTCGTCGAGCACAGTGAAAGTGCACAGTGTGGCATCAGGGAGGACACAGGCGTCTGGATCCACGGGGATCACAGAGGAAGGCGGCTCACCATCCTGACTGTCCTCACTGTCCCCGTCATCCCCATCATCCTTGTCATCTCCATCATCCTGGCTCACAGACCTGTGAGAATACAGGGAACTGTCGGTCACGATGTTCACACACACTTCACAACAACCTGCCACAGAGCACGTTGGGTCTGGGGTCTTCAGAGAGTGATCTCAGTGACCGTCACAGCCCCTCACAGGTATGGGGAAGGCTCACCAGGGAGCAGCTGGCCTGCCACACCGCCTCCCACTTGCCCCATGGACTGCTCTGCTTGGCATTGGTCACCCAGGGACACACACGTAACCTATGATGTACCAAGGGTTCCAGAAACAGAGTTCGGACAGAAAATTCTCATTGGTGCAAAACCGTCAGACCCCCGAGGCCTCATCTGTGATTCACACCCACTACCCCTTTCTGTCTTAAGCTAGTAGTGAGCAGCCACCCCCGTGTAGGCTCCACACTGGTGCCTGGGAGGGGTCCGGCTTCTCCATACTGGGCTTCTCTAACCACTCTGGGTTCACGATGTTTTTGCCATGACTACCAACCAGAGACCCACCTCGAAGGTGTGTCATGACAGACCGGATAGGACCCACCAAGGCCAAAGGGGCAGGATCCTCCTCCAAGCTGCAGACTCAGTTGCCCGAACCCCACTTACTAAGGATTCTCTGCAAGCAGGTGCCTGTTAGAGAATGCAAGTGCTGTGGGCAGGGACAAGCCAAGACTTCAGAGCTGGCTCTGAGTCCCATGCTGGCCGGCTGGTGACTGTTCACTCTGAACCCAATCGAGGGGCAAGCAAAACGTACAGGTCGCAGGGGTGGTGTTTGAGGAGGACAGGGCAGGGTGGCCACGGATCAGAGAGAGCAGAGAGTTCATCTGAGGCCATGTGGCCTCGCCCAAACTGGTGCCACCCACGATCACTCCTCACCTACTCGCCTGGTCCAACGACAAGCAGTAGATGCCCCTGCGGGCGCACAGGACATAAAGCGCCCTGCGAAGGGCCAGGAGCTCCAGGTGCCACACTTGACCCGGAAACTTGTACACTGCCTGGACATCGGGGAGGCAGGAAACAGCACGGAGTCTTTAGTTTTAAACAAACTCCTCAATGCGCCAGCCCCTCGGAAGGAAGCCGGAGCCCGGCCCCCCCACCCCACCGCCCGGAACCCGGCACCTCCCTCGCCCAGGCCCACGCCCCTCCACTCCCCGAACCTGGGCACCCCCGCCCTCTCCCTGCCCGGGCCCAGTGCTCACGGTCAGCAGCCCCCGCTCCCGGTCGTAGACATAAACCAGCTCGCTCCCGGTGGACAGGAAGATTTCCGCCCCGAGGCACAGCATGCGGGGTTTGCCCGCCGCCAGGCCCCCGAGCGGGCAGCAGAAGCCCGCCAGGTAGTCGACACGCGGCGTGAGGCCGACCATCGTGCGCGCCCGCGGCTCAGGGAGCGCAAGACGGGCGGGGAGTCCCGGCCGCGGGGAGGCCGCTCGGAGGCCGCTGCGCCTCGGGGCGCTGACGCCGGGGGCGGGGCGGCGGCGCTTCACGGCCGCCCACGTCGCGCCGCGGCCTCCGCCGTAAAGCGGCGCGGCGCGGACGTGCTCCCGGTCGTGGCGTCTCGGCTGGAGCCCAAGCCGCCGCGGTAAAGCTAGTGGACACAGAGCGGTTAGCAAAGGGCCAACGTGTTTAAAGCTAAACGCGGGAAACTAAGGGCCTGCCCTAGCGCACCCCGTCCGTCCTCCGAGCGGCCCGAGGCGGCTTCTTGGAGGGCATTGCGGATCTGTAGCATCTCCTACGCCCGTGCAGGGCCCTCGGGGTCCCTTGGTCCGGCACGAAGTCGCGCCTCCCTCATGCGCCCTAGAGCATGGCCAGCGCGGGGACCCGGGCTAGTACGCGAGCTCCCCCAGAGCGGGGTCGGGAACCTTGCGCCCAGCAGAACGCGTCTCCTCAGAGCAGGCGATTTTCTAGGGTTTTGGGGAACGATTGGATTCTGCGGAGAAGTCCGGGGGAGGGGGACGGGCGGCGCTCTCGGCCTAGGTATGGGTCTCCTCCCTCTGAGCTGCTGAGCCGCCCGACACCCGCCCCATCCCCAGGACACTGCCGGGTTTGAGCTAAACATGGACTGAAGTGTCCCATCCCTCCATGCCTGAACATGAGCTGTCCGTGGGTGTGTTGGCTCCACTGGACAATGCGGACAAAGGGTAAGCCAGAGGAATGCTGGGTTGGAGGCAGAGGACCGCAAAGAAAATGACCGGCTGGGCTTCAGGATCGGGCGGCTCACCAGCGATCAGCCGAGGGGTGAGGGTGAAGCCAGGGCAAGACACCTCTCCTCCCCACTGGGGCTGCTCCCTCTCCACATTCTCCAGGACTTTGGAGACAGGTGCTAACCAGAGAGGGACCGGGAGCTCGCCTCTGGATGAGAGACTGGGAGACCCAGAGCGTCCCTGCTTACAAAGTGAAAGAAAAGACCAGCCCCCTCTCCTTTGAGAAGCCGATCAGAATATCTCCCAAGACCAGACACCCACGAGTGAAAGAGGCATCTGGGGGGCATGGCCAGGCATCCAGCTGCCAATGTCTTCTGGGCTCGGAAGTTGAGCTGACATCACAGAGGGTGGTGTGCCTGCCACAACACAAAGAAGCAGTAGCACCAGAAGCACTAATCTCTCTTCTTGAGGTTGAGGTGGGCACTCACTGCCTAGGGCAGCGGACAGTCACTGTCTCACTGTTTGGGGTGCTGGTTGGACACAACTTGAGTGTGGTATTAGCAGTCTGTTGTTCGCCCCTTCTGCTCCCAGGTGTTTGGGTTGGAAACACTGTCCTGGATGCTGGGACAGGAGGAGAGGGCCATGGGGGAATGAGGAAGACCAGCTCCCACTTGGGCTTTGGAATCAGGAAGAGACGGCACGCTCCTATCAAGCAACATACCACTTTGAATTTTCCCCTCAGTGTACAAGTGTTCTTGGCTGGTCTTCTGACCACCAATCCTTGTGAACCACATGCTCACACTAATCCCCATCCCCGTCCTCCCAGGCTGTTTTCCAACACCAGGGGAAATACGCCAAGACTGTCCTAGAGAAAATGACCACGTGGGGAACTGGACCTGGGAGGAGATGAGCTGAGCAGGTTCCGCCCTAACTGGCCAGGACAACCCTGCAAGCACTGTTAAGTTGGGTCACTCTGTGCCACTCCCTTCTGTTCATCTGTTGGGTCACTCTGTGCCATCTCCCATCTGTTCTGTTGGGGCCAGGGCTAGCAGGCTCCTGGCCCCAAGCCCAGGCAAGCCTCACTCTGATATAAGGATTCATGATCATCTCAACACAGGGGCCCTTGAGTGCTGATCCCTGGAGGTTACAGACATGAGCAAAGGGCTGAAGGCCCGCTGAGACGGCTAAGGGGTGATATGGAGCAAGGGTGAGTCTCACGTGGGTATGCAAGGGGCACACTCCTGGTGGGAAACCTGAGAGACAGCAGAGCACATTGCTGACAGTCAGTAATGCAAGTTTGGAGGCAGTGTAATCGTCCTAAAGACAAATTACACCACCAGACTGGGGAGAAAAACGACAGCATGCGCAGGGAAGTTGCAGACTGTGTCGGGCACTTCTCACAGGCAGCACAGCCTGCCAAGAGGTCGAACGTGCCAGGAAAGAGGGGGCAGGACCCCAGAGTTCTATTTCCAAGCAGTACACACTCCATTTGCTTGATTTCTTGGGGGAGGGAACCTTATCACTTCATAGAACCAACAAGTTCAGCAGCCTGAGATGCACCAAGGGCCAGGCACAGCAATAAAACCTAACTCAGGAGCCTGGAGGCAGGTGCTGAGGACCTGCCTGCCTCACAGTCCAGAAGCGAGGCTGAGGCCTGCCTCACCCCAGGGCCTGTCAGACATCAGCGGGTAGTGTTTCCTATGTACTTGTTCAGGAGCAGTGAGTCACCCGGCTGGAGGACAAGAGTGTTGCTGGAAGGTGTGTGTGAAGGCTGGCACCCAAACATCAGAGGGATGCCTCCTGCCTGTCACAAGATACGGTAATTCAGGCGAGGCAGCGTGTCACTTCCAGGCCTCGCTCCCCAGCACCTGGGCAGTCTGGGGGCTTCCGGACTTTGTGCTTCACCTGCTGCCTGTTGGTGTGCACAAGTCTCACCACACAGAGGCCCAGGAAGAGCCACACGGCTGACAGGCGGGAAAGGTGCAGAAAGGGAGGCCAGGCTCTCCTCTTCCACCCAGATGTTATGCTGGAAGCACAGTGGCAAGGAGCCTGGGCAGGGGAGTGGGGCCCTACCCTTCAACTGTCCAAACACATCAGGGGAGGACAGTGACATGTGGAGGAACGTCGTCAGTCAGCCAACACAGAGCAAAGTCAGCCAACACAGAGCAAACACAACTCGACCTGCAGTGTGCAGGGAGAGGCCTTGGGGCCCAGAAACAACAGACAGGGAGCTCGGCAGTCGCTTCAGGTGCTTTTATTAGTTCCACTGCACGGCTGGAGTCCAGGTAACGTTAACGCAAACCCAACTGAAACACACCTTCGAGTCCCAAGCGGAGCCGAAGCGGGAGCACCAGGGGCAGACTGGTGGGAGGAAGCCAAGGCAGCCGGCTACGATCACCTGGGCAGGTGTGCACTCAATCACCCCTCACTGGGTTACAGTGCCTGGTAGCATGAGAGGGGTGTCCACATGAGGGCAGGTAGGATGCAGGTGGGGCTGGGGACCCCTTCCCCTGTGTGAGAGGAGGTGGCTGAGCTGCCTGGGCCTGAGCCCTCCAGCAGGGCACCCTCCACACCCTTTCACTGAGCTCTGACTCTCCTTGGACAATAAAATAAAGTGCATTACTGAACAAAGAGTGACTCAGAAGCAGAGAAATCACAATGCTTTTTCTTTAGCTAAAAGACAAAAGGAAATGAATGGAATTATGCAAATGCCAGAACTTCAGAGTGAGGAGAAAACTGGTTGAAGAGAAAAGGAAACCAGCTTGGTGGATCAAGGTGAGAGAGCAAGCAGAGGAGGAACTAGGGGTGGGGGCGGCGGGGTCTCAGAAATCTGCACTCTCTGACCCTACGCCGACGCTGGGAGACACAGAGTCTAAGCACAGGGCCTGCAGACACCAGGCCATCTGCAACCTCACATCTGATCGCAGGGCCCAGGCGACACAGAGGCCAGAGCTCCAGCAGCACAGCTGTTAGGAGCAGGACCAGGCAGTCTCGCAGGCAGCCGCAGATAAGCTGGGGAGACACACACCGGCAGCTCTGTACCTCTCCTGCCCCTCCAGAACAGACGGCTCTGCCGCAGTGAGACCCAAACCAATGGGCTCCTGGCCCTAAGAGCAGACATTCTATGTTTTTCATTTGGTGTCCCACACCAGGTGGACCTGAAGGTGCCAGGCACGGCCTTCACCACAGGAGAAACCAACACGCAAGTATTCTCTGTCCACAGTGCCAAGGGTAAGGGAGGGTCACACAGGCCTGCACCCCATCCCCAGACCAGAGACATGAAGTCCCCAAGCACAGTCTGTGTCTGGGCTGGCCTCCCTGGTGGGCGCCTTACATCTCAGAGATACGGCTCTCGTTAAGGCAAAGAGGCATCAGGATGCCCACAACTCCCTGGGGAAGGGCCAGACCATAGCCTGGCCACAGAGGAAATGTGGGGACCCCAGAGCACATGTGTAAGGTCCAACCACGACCTCTGTCCTGGGATGGCCCGGACCTCACACCGTCAGCATAGTATCAACTTTCCGATGCCCCCACAGCAATGCCACACAGCCCTCATGACAGGCCAAGCCCCTACTCCCTCACCCAGGCCTGTCTCAATGGCCTCATCACTGTGGCAAAGGCCAGGGGCTGGGTGGGGCAACAGGAAGGGATGGTGTACAGGGCGAAGGAGACCAGAGCTTCCAGTCCCGAGCAACCCAGCTCACCCCATGCAAGCCCGGTCAGCAGTGTTGGCTGTCTGGAGGGGCTACCTACTTGGCCTGAGCCACCACTGCCCTCCTGCTCGGACTGTCCGTGTCTGCAGCTGTTGCAGCTGTGCAGCTTGGCAGAAAAGTCTCAGGCACTGAGGTTTACTTCCAAGGAGAAATGACTGGGGGTCCCCTGTCCACATTCACCCACTCAGCACACACCCACAAGGACTCACTAAAGGAGGGAAGGAACTGGAAACTAGTCTCTCTCACTCCCCTTTTATGCAGTTTTTATCTTAAAAAAAAATAAATAAAAGTCTTCTGGGCAGGAATTACTGATAACTGTTATTACAACCAATGCAGACTTTAAAATCCCACCTGGATGTTGAGTGAGAGCAAGAAAAAGGGTGGGCAGCAATTAACCTGCAGATCAAGCAGACAGGAGGCCGGTGAGCCCGTGGCCACTTGAGTTCCCACCAGACAATGGCTACTGGAAGGGGAAGAAGTGGCCCTCACAGGCAGGGTCTGCCCCAGAGCAATAGGGTACAGAGGCCATCAAGAGCTCCCAACCAAAAACACGGGAGAGGCAAGAACAAAAAGCATCCAAGAGGAAGGAAAGAGAATGCTGGATGGCAGCAACAAGCTGTCCCCACCCCTCCAATCCCAGGTGATGATTTAGAGGTACCCAGTCCTTCCACCACAGGGGGGGCTGGTAACCAGGTAGGGGTGCCAGGTGTCCGGGCCTAGCAGACTGGTTTCAGCCTGCAGAGCACCAGCCTGGCTCCCTCCCTCCAGGGAAGTCTGGTGTTAAGAAGCTTTGTCGGTCACAGACCCCAGGGCAGCCACCCCCGCCCTGCCCTTCAGGGCTGCCAGCTGTGGGGCACAGTAACAACGATCCTGACTTCAGAGAGGGCTGGGGTGGACCCAGTCCTGCCAGCAGGGGCCGGGAGCCCTAGGTCCTGGGGAGGCTGCACATCTCGCAGTGGCCAGTGCCTGGCTGGTTCATGAAGGTGCAGTGCTGACAGGCCCACATGGCGGCCGTGGTGGCGTGCGTGGAGCCCCCAATGGCTCCATACTCGTGGAGGCCCGGAAGCTGCACACCAACTGTGCCTGTGGGGTGGGAAAAGAAGTGAATGTTCATCATTTCTGCACAGGAAGACGTTCTATCCCGTCTGAGAGCTCTGTGCTACTGCTTATCAGAGTAAAAGTGGACTCAAAGCAATTACTACAGGCGCGGGCAGAAGCAGCTCGAGAACCCTCACCACGGGTCCTCCGCTCACATATAGAACCATGCTAAATAAAGCTGTTGTCTGCAGAGCTTAAAGCTGTCACCTGTGACCAACTCAGTCCACCTGCCCACCCTCCTGGCTTGCTGTGTCAGTGGTTCCTTCCTCTTTATTGCTGAGTGGTACTTCTCTGTGTGAACATCATCATTGCATAGCCATTTCCCTCTTGACGGATATTTGGGTCATTTCCAGTTTTCAGCTATTATGAACAAAGCTGCCATAAATGTTGTTGCACGAATCTTTGTGTGGACCTGTATTTTCATGTCTCTTAGGTAAAAACCTAGGAGTGGGCTTGTTGGGTCCTAGGGTAAGTGAGCATTTATAAGAAACTGCCAGACTGTTTTCACATTCTCACCAGTGTGTGCGAGGGTTCCAGCTGCTCTGCAAGCTCACTAGCACTGGATACTGTCAGTTTTTTTCATTTTAGCCACTCTATGAATGTGTAATGGTATCTCATTTGTTTTATTTTTATTTTTTTTTTTTTTAAGATTTTATTTATTTATTTTTCCCCCAAAGCCCCAGTACATAGTTGTCTGTCATAGCTGCACATCCTTCTAGTTGCTGTATGTGGGACGCGGCCTCAGCATGGCTGGAGGAGTGGTGCCTCGGTGCGCACCCGGGATCCGAACCCGGGCCGCCGGCAGCGGAGCGCACGCACTTAACCGCTAAGCCACGGGGCCGGCCCATCTCATTTGTTTTAATCTGTATTTTCCTGATGACTGTGGATGCTGACCATTACTATATCTCTTGTTGTGAAATGATGAAGTCTTTCACCCAGTTTTTTACCCACGCTCTTTCTGTTTTGGTTATCAATTATCCATATGCAGAGCTCTATTTTAGCTGTGAGTTCTGTGTCACTCACATGTGTGTTATTAATTATCCTTATGCAGAGTTCTATTTTACCTGTGAGTCCTGTGTCATTCATGTGTATCACAAATATTCTTTCCTGGTCTGTGCCTTGCCTTTTCTCGTTTTTAACAGTGTCTTTGATGAGCACAAATGCTTCATTTTGATAAAGCCCAGGTGGCCAATCTTCACAGTCAGTGTTTTCTCTGTCCTGCCTCAAGGTCCTGCTTCTTGCCTAAAACAATCTTTGCCTGCCCCAAGGCCCTGAAGATACTCAACTTGGTTTTTTAAATAAATGCTTTATAGTTTTAGCTTTCACCATTAGGCCTATGATCCATCTTGAGTTGATTTTGTATATTGTAGAGGTCAAGGTTCATTTTATGCACACAGATATCCAGTTGTTCCATCACACTTTCCTGAAATGGCCATTGTCTCCTCACTTAACTGCTCTGGTGCCCTTGTTATCAACTAATTCTCAAGTCTCTATCTGTGTTGATTCTCACACAGACACCATGCTGTCTTAATCACTGCAGCTTCGTGGTCCTGAAATCAGGTAGTGCCTGTCCTCCAATTTTGTTCTTCTTTTTCAAGACTGCCTTCTAGGCCCTCTACATTCCCAAATAAATTTTATAACTTATTTTTTACTCCCCTCCCCCGCCAAAAAAAGTCTATGGGGATTTTCATTGGGATTGCACTGATTGTTTTGAGGGAAACTGACATCTTAAAAATATATTGAGTCTTCTGATCCAGAAAGATGGTATTTCTTTCCATTTACTTAGTTCTTCACTTGGCAAGGTGTTAGCTTTTAGCAAACAGCTCTTATGCGGCTTCTTTAAATGCATCCCTAGGTATCTTATGTTTTGTGATGCTTTGTAAATGGTACTCTATTATTAATTTCGGTTACCAGTCCTATGCATAACATGTTGAGTTCCATGAGTAGATTATCTGTTGACAGGATCTGATAATCACATAATACACTTTTTAGCAAAGCGAGTGTCACCAACACCAGGAGCTCTCCAACCAGAGGCTGCAGGCAGATTGTCACCCTGCTGCTGTGGGACTGACACCTGACACGGGCTTGGGTTTCTCTTATCCCGTCTAAGCATGAGGGGTGGAGCCAACAGGCCCCAGCTCCTATATGGTCACTTGCTTTAGGTTGGTGTCTAATAGAGATGGCAAAAACATGCTAAATGCTCGGACTGAAACCTTTTCAGATCTAGTTTTCCTTTTCCCAAACCAGACCAATGCGTATCCAGAATAACCTCCTGGCAACCTGCCCTTCCTTTAGGTCCACATGAAGCATCTCTGCACATTCTTGGCTTCCCTGTGTGCAGTCTCTGCTGGCACTCTCTCTGGGCCGAGCTTAAAATATTAAAGCTGCTGCAATCAATGTTTCTGTGTGAAGGATCCGAAAATAACATTGGGGGTGGAGAGCCCATTATGTGGGAGTTATACCAGGTGCTGAGTGCCAGTGGCCGGCACCACCCCACTGTCTACCCAAGGACACAAGGCTGCGGGGTTTCACTTTAGGGAGTTTGGTGAGAACAACTTGTCCTCTGTCTGTCTTAGAACATCTGAGCAATATTTCAGAACATGAGGGCAAGAAGAATACACGGCACATCTAGCCAGCCAAATTACAGTTTGGTTGTCAGAAGTGTATAAAAAGAAAACTTAACAAAAAGCACAACACAACAAATACTAAGGCTCTTCAAACCACTGAGCTTCTGGATATTTTAGTTCAAGAGAGAATAACTTTTTTTTTTCTTGTGAGGAGGACTAGCCCTGAGCTAACATCCGATGCCAATCCTCCCCTTTTTTCTTGAGGAAGACTGGCCCTGGGCTAACATCCGTGCCCATCTTCCTCTACTTTATATGGGACACTGCCACAGCAGGGCTTAACAAGCGGTGCGTCGGTGTGCGCCCAGGATCCGAACCTGCAAACCCTGGGCTGCTGCAGTAGAGCGCGCGCGCTGAACCACTGCGCCACTGGGCGGCCCGAGAATAACTTTCCACTAGACTCCTTCGTGGCTCAGATTCCACTGAGGTTTTTCTTGGCTAATTTTGGCTCTATTATCTATCCACTAGATTGAGAAAATGGTTTAAACATTTTTTTATACATATTTTCAAGGCTGTCTTAAGAGGGCATTCCAGTATTTTTCAAAGCCACAGGGAAAAGGGCTGCCACAGCTGCCTGCCATGTTGAGTTCTTGGCTGGATGGGATCAGCTGCACACTGCACCTGCCCAAGACCAACTGACAGAAGGCTCTCACTAGAGCAGCGTGATCTCAGGCTCCTGGAGACACAAGATCCCCACGTTCTATTCTATAACTTTTTTCCTTCTTATCAAGAAAGCACCGAGGACTGGTGGGAAAAAGAAAAGCCTGAGGAGCAAAGCAAAAGGTTTCTGTACTCTCAGCACTCATGTGAATGTAGTTTCTGTTTATCTAAAACAATGACTTTAAAATTGTTCCTAAGATGCCTGAAGATTAGCTTATCCAGTGAATACATATATAAAAATTCACTGAGCTGTATACCAAAGATCTGTGGCCTTTATATATGTATGTTACATCAAGGAAAAAGTTTGTGTGCCCGGGCAGAGATCAGTTTGTTCTTGTTCAACTGCCCATGATGCCCATCAGAATGCATCTTGGGTCAGGCTTCTAGGGCATAAGAAGTACTGGGGCTTTGAAGAGCATGTGTCTAGCTCCCTGGGCTCTGGCAAAGGGACCATGAGGGTGTGACCCTTGGGACCGAGGAAGGGGAGGACACTTACTGCAGAGCTGCTCGATGGTGGCCCACTGCTCAGACTTCTTCCACGTCTGGGCAAGCTCCTCATTTCTGGTCCTCACGGCCTCTAGCAGCAAGCTGATGCTGTCCTGCAAGAAGCCAAAAAAGAAGGTTCCAACTTGCTTTGCCTATGGTGGACAGAGTCTTGTTAATAGGTTTCTTCCCCAACATCAGGATACACTTCAGAGGGAATTTTAAAAATCTCACAGACTGTCACTATGAAACGCAAAATGCCACACACTTAGGTCTATAAATACAAGTGCTAATGGAGCTAAAGTTTAAATTCTTGCCAAATCACCCCAAGTTGGCTACTGTGCTCCTCTCCGTCATGGGCTGACAGAGTGCTCAATCACCTAGATAATAAAGGCTCACGTCCCTTCTCCTGGGGGCTTAGATGGATGGACAGGAGCCCTGTGGTTGTGAAGTCCATCCTCCTCCCTCACACTCTCCCCTTGGGCTCTTTATCTTCTCAATTGTGTCTTTAAACATGCACTTTATATCCTAGGCCTCCAGTGTCAAAGTGCAGAGAATTAAAATAGTTTATACAATGAGAGATTTATAAAGCCTTCAGGGGGCTCTCAGTACCTACAGAAAGTGTTTTCTAACAGGTGATTGCGAAACAGTACACATTTACTAGCAAGAAAGCCTTGATATCGAGAACCTAACTTTTTCACCACCTGTCTAACTGGACGGGCAGCGGCTGAACCTGGGCCCAGAAGTGCAACTCTCTAGGCTTAACAAGGAAGGCAAAGCCAGTGGGAAGTCTCAGGGTGCCTGGTGTCACAATATCAGAAGTGGGTAATGTGGGGACAAAACACAGACACAAGATAAACCCAGCAGGATACAAGAACAACTACAGGCCACCTGACGTAGAAAAGCAGTGGGGAGGGAGGGGCCTCTCCATTCTATGCTGTCACCTCCAGGGAAACGTGCTGAGTCAGTGGTATCAGTGGCTCAAAAAGAACTCATTCCTTTCTCTGGCATTTCCTTGGGTCTCAGGCAGAAAAAGGCCAAAATAGAAGGACATCCATGACATGGCACATGCAAGGGGCCTCCTGGCTGGACCCGCTGCCCACTGCCCCCACACTGCTCAGATCACAACTGCCATCTGTAACGCTCGCCCTCTTCTCCCCCACAGCGTGTCTTAAAAATGCCAACTGTGCAGCTGTGCACTTGGGGCCTGGACACTGGCCAACCTTCTGGGCCAAGGCGATAAAACCAAAGTTGATTCGGGAGGAAGGGAGATATCAGTAAGAAGCAGAGGCTGTGATTCTGAAACTGTTAGGACAGGAATTTTTAAATCGTTGGATCTCTAATGCTTCATGCTAGAGGACACAGAGCTCAATAAGCTCTACTTCCCAAGTGATTATAGCAAACAAACTGTCCTCCACCACAGAGGACAGACACTTAAGAAGTTGTTTCCATGCAAATGCTAAACATGAAACAATTCATCTTTCCACCAACAAGCCCCCTGTAAAAAGCAACTGCCCACAGGATGTAAGGGGGCACTTCAACCCAAGTCCCAGCCATGCTCTGGTTCGTGAGCAAAGGAAGCAACTCTTTACAGGCAACCCCCTCCCCAGAGACCACCAAAGCCAGGTGCTCAGCAGGCATGCACACTCAAACCTGTACCTGCAGAGGCATGACTTCATTGGTGACCAGAAACAGCAGGAGGTGGAAATCCGAGATGGTATCCAAGAACACAGATGAGGTATTCTGGGACAAATAGGTAGCCAAACTATGGAAGTCCTAGAGTGATGGGGGTGGGAGGGAAGGAAACAAACATGGACATTCCATTACAACTCCCCATGCCAGACTCACAGGAGAGCCATTTTCCTCCTAAGACGTAAATGAACACGTTTAATGCTGATGGACATCTCTCTCCCTCTCTTTCTATATCCACTGATGAGGACCCAGGGACAGAACACACAGGTGCAGAATAAGGTGTGGCCTCCTCTCCCAGGAAGATGCTCTCAGGACATCTGACTTATCCAAGTGTGTTAAGAAAGCATATTTATGAAGCTAACCCAGATGTGAGCCACATTCAAACAGACAAAAAACGACCCCCTTCCCTCTAGGTGGAGAGTGGGCTGTGGGAAGGGCCCACCTTGGGGCCAGGAGACCCGTCTGCTTTTTCTGTCTAGTTGCATTGTTGATCTAGGGCAGCATGATAGTGAGGAGTAGAAATTGTGTGTGGGCACGTGGAGGTAGACATTATGCAACACTAATACTTTCAGCAAAAGGAAAAAGAGGAGATTCAAGAGTGCTACCCCACTAAGTGGCTCTGCACCCCCACAAGACCCTGAGTCCCTGGACAGATGGGCAGTGAGGAGACCAATACATCAGAGAGGTTTTATAAACAAATCACTGCTTCAGAAGAAAATCTCATTATAGATATTCTTTAACCAAGCCATTTTCTACAATGCCTGTTAACAAATTAGGATCTAAGAACAAATGGGTGTTCACGGACCATCTCTGTGGCACACACAAGGCAGTCACAGCATTTCTGATCTGGCTGATCTGCCAGTGAGAGTGGAAGGCCACAATGTGAGATGTGTTGAATGAGATCAGCACCACGTGCCGGAAAGCCCAGGGGGCCAAGCCACACAAGACCCATGCAGCTCGGATGGTGCCTGAGAAACACAGCCGGTGACAGGGTGGGGGGCCAGAGCAAACAGTGAAGCGAGACATCTCCACAAAGAGATAATGCTGATTAATAAACAAACAAAAAAGTTACTGGAAGAGGACACAAAGTGACAAATTTGGGGGAAAAAAAGGAAGTCAGCTGAGAATGCTCCTTCCGGCAAATCCGTAGGCCTGAGGACTTATGGGGATTTGCCTTTGTGATCATCTGTCACTCCAGCCCCAGAGAGGGTCTCACAGTGATGAACAGTGTCTTAGAAAAAGGCCTCGCCAGGATTTGTCACAAGAATGAACCAGGAGAGTTTGAAAGCTTGGTACTTTCTGGAAAAACAATACTGACACTAGATAAACAAGCAGTAGTTACTTTAAATTATGTTTCTAAAGACAAAGAGCTTACCTGTGTCTCACCCAATACATCTCGGTTTTCAATAGGAAATGGATTTTGCGAAATAGAAAAAGTATAAACTGGATCCTTGGGGAAAGTTGTTGTGATCTAATGGAAAAAAAACACAAACCCATGATAAACTGTGCTGTAAACAGGGGTGTGAACAATCCTCAAGTGCCCCAAAAGGCCCTGAGCACACACACCACCCCCAGAGCCCCAAGTTCCTCACAGTGGCAAAAGAACCCTCACCGTTCTACACTGAAGGGAATAGTTAACTATCAGTACCACCTCTAAATGAAAATTCTGAAACTTTGACCCACAGAAGCAAACTCAAGAACCATTTTTAATAATTTTTTTTGTGTGAGGAGGACTAGCCCTGAGCTAACATTCGATGCCAATCTTCCCCTTTTTTCTTGAGGAAGATTGGCCCTGGGCTAACATCCATGCCCATCTTCCTCTACTTTATACGGGACGCCGCCACAGCACGGCTTAGCAAGCGGTGTGTCAGTGCACACCCGGATCCGAACCTGCGAACCCCGGGCTGCCGCAGCGGAGCACGCGCCCTCAACCACTGCACCACCGGGACGGCCCCTATTTTTAATAATTTTTAAGACTGCACCACCTGTGGGCAGTTTCTGTACACTGACCCCTATAATACCTAACTTAGGCCCCACTGGGACTACCCAAGGTGAAGCTTCCTCATGATAAGCTTCTCACCCAGCTGCTCTCCTGCTTCATGGAAGAACCAGAGAGTGAACTACGGGACAGAACAGAGAGGCGAGGAGGCATCTCAGGAGCTGACTCTGCTCCCGTCACTGGGTCTGGAGGGCATCTGCAGAATCAGCCTGTGAAGGTTTTGAGGGATGCAATGACCTCCAGCGTGCTTGCTAAGGCCCTTCTGAATTCGAGCGCCCCACTCCAGGGAGGCAGGAAGAGAGCCGAGGCCTCTGCGACACAGGGCCCAGCTCTCCCGCTCTCCCTGAAGACGCAGGAGTTAAGAGCTGCATCCAAAGGGGAGCCTGAGCCCTTCATTTGGCTCAGACACGCTTTAGTAACGACAGAGGGCATTTTAAATCTAACATATAATCCATAGAAGCTACGGGGACAGTGGTTAACATGCAAGAATCAATACAGGGCCGGGCCAGTGGCGCGAGCAGTTAAGTGCGCGCACTCCGCTGCGGTGGGTCCGGGGTTCGCCAGTTCAGATTCCGGGCGCACACCGACGCACCACTTGGCAAGCCATGCTGTGGCGGCGTCCCACATAAAGTGGAGGACGATGGGCACGGATATTAGCCCAGGGCCAGTCTTCCTCAGCCAAAAAAAGAGGAGGATTGGCAGATGTTAGCACAGGGCTGATCGCCCTCACAAAAAAAAAAAAAAAAAAAGAATCAATACAAATATAGCTCTTTACTCTTCCTGGCAGATACCCCTCCCCACAAAAGCATCGGAGTGTGAGCCATCAGCCACCTTTTGGTTGACGCAGCTTCTCCTCTGTAACATGACACTAGCGGCAGCAGATTACACCTCGTCCAGATTTAGGGTAGCTATTCTGGTTCCTTTGGGACTATTTCTAAAGAATAAAAATGTTGTTCTGGTCTGTTTTCCACATCAGCAAAGGCAGCGAGCTGTTTCAGGCTGGCTGGCCCAGGATTTACTGTGCCTGTGCCAGCACTCTGAAGGATGAGCTGAGCCATCAGCAGCATCCACTCAAGCCCCGCTGGTCTTTTATTGACAAGACCTGTGGCCGTGTGGCGAAGGGTGTGGACTTAAGCTACAGTGCTATGTATCAGCCATGTAGCCTCTGTCAGCTACAAATGCTAGGCCTCACTTTGTTCATCTGTAAGATAAAGATGATCCAAGAGCCTATGCCTCCTAAGGCTGCTGTGAGGATTAAATGCGCTCAGACTTGTAAAGTCCTCAGAACCAGGCCCGGCACACACAGGGCTCAGTCTCGACTGCTGTCATGGTTCTAAAGACGGTGGAGGGGCTGTCCATGCTGCAGAGACAAAGGTCTGTGGACTGCTCAGGTCTCTCCCTTTGGGAAGGCAGAGTCGGTAATGGACAGGCAACAAGAGAATACCTACTACTAAGTAAATGTGGAATTAACGGAAGTATTTGTTAGACTTGCAATTGCCACTTGGAGAGCAACAGAACCAAAGTCCACCTCGCAGTTTGTGACTATCTCAGATGCCAGAGGGGAGAAGATGCAGGGCATCAGGCACCTGGTCTTGTGCTTAGACCCTCTCCCTACCCAGCCTGCCTTGGGGTCAACTAGCCCAGACACCTCCAGAGCACGGGCACAGAAGCCTAGAGGAACACAGCTCATCCCTTTCCCTCCTGAAACAACCACAGGTCACAAGATTTGAGGACATCAGATAGCCCTAGTCAGGCCATGGGTCTGGAGCCAGGCAAAGAGCTGAGTACACTTGTCTGGGTACCTGCTCTCAAGGGAATGCTTCAACCTCCTTCCACGAAAAAGGAAAGCCTGGGTATCACAGGGCGAAATGTTCCCTCGACAACCAAACACTTTCAAAACAATGCACTAAGGCAAGAACTTAGCTCCTTTAGGGAAGAAAAGGGGAGGCGAGGTCACTGGCAGGGACGACCTTAGAAAGCTGGCTTTAAATCATGCCGCCTCTTCCTAAGCGTACGTCCCATCAATCTGCTTTCATCTTAATTACACCCTAGGTGGTCTAAAAAACAGATGCCTTTACGGCCTAGGTAATAGATATGTTCTCAGGAGCTGTCAATTGGAATGGAGCATCGATGGACTTGGCTCATGGGGACCCACTGCTCCAAATGCAGTGCGAGTTTACAGTCTGAATCACATGCCTGTCCTGAGTCCAAACGCAGCCCGAACAGATCCTGGCAGGCAACAGTCAGGAAATGAGCTGCCTCCCGTCCTCCCCTTTGGACAGAGCTCTGAGTGTCAGGCGTTCATCTTGCAGCATTCCGGGGCTATCTGGCCTGGGGCCACATCTCTGCGACCAGAGCACACTTCCAGAAAGGAGCTGAGACTATGGGAACATGCACTGGAGCTAGACCTTCTTGGCTCCTGGGTTCCCCCCACCAGGAAACCACACTGCCTCTCACTCAAGAACAGAGTCACAGCTGTGTCCCCTAGGGACCAACTCAGGTGGGGTGGCCCCCTTGAGCTCGGCTGTGGCAGCTTAGCTGTTACTGGGGTGGCAGGTGCACATGTGCATACGGAGCCGCCGGGGCTCACTGACCTGGAGGCTGCTCGGTCCGGCTGCTGGTTCTTTGTTGCACTTTAGTTTGGGAGAAGTTAACCTCCAGGTTGTTTTTAAGGAAATAAAAAACTGAAACTAAAAGAAAAAGCCCTTACAATTGTGAGCTTTTCAGGGATACCAGGAGCTGGGTGATTCAAACATCTCCTAGGTGCCTGTCCTGTGCCAGGCCGAGGGGCAACTGTCCAAGCCACTGCTGCCCTTGCGTGGCCACCACCTGGCAGTCCTGACCTCCAATGCACCCACTGGGAGCTTGGGGCCGGAGGAGGACACACACTTACGTCTATGATCAGATACTCCACAGGCAGGGGGCGGGCCAACTGTGTGATCTCGTTGCCAAACTTGTCTATGTCCTGAAACAGGAGACAAAGGTGAACGGCAAGAGTGAAGGTGTGCTGATCAGTGACATGTTTTTCCTTTCACATGTTTGTCTCACTTTTCAAATTGTTACAATTCTTGTTGAAGTATACGAAAAGCAGAAAGGAAAATGTGCATATTTTTGCAATGACTCCACCTTCCCTCATTTTTTAGAGCTCCTTATGACGGTCATAGGATGAGAAAGCAGCCATGCTCTTAGCTAATGGGGAGTCTCCACTGGGAGAACATGTTAGAGCCTCCCTGCCCTCCCCACTCGGCACTCCAGCCCAGCACTAAAGCTGTCTGAGCCGTGGGCCCAGGGCTCCCGCCTGCCCCTCAGGCTGCATCTGTGCCCTCTCCTCCTCCACAGGCTCCCTCAGTCTCAAGTCTAAATGCTAATTCTTAACAATCTTACACCTCTGAAAACTCAACTTTATGGAAACTTAATACTCGAACATTAATAAAATAAATATGCACACAAATGAGTACACATACACACAAATACGCAGACATGGAAACCCCCACCACCAATCTGTCAAAGTCTACACTTGTTTTGCTTTGTCAGATGCACGGAACATAAAGTTTAATTATGGGGAAAAATGGCCAGCATATGTTCATTAATCATAAAATGACAATTAGATCTGATTTATGTCAAACATGCTGAGTTCAAACAGAGCTCTAGAAATAAATTCATATGAACCAATGCTTTTCATTAAAGATTCTGCAAGAGGGGGTCATATTTTCTATCTAAATCATCACTTAACATTATATAAATCATTCATTGAGTCATATATAAATTATACATCCATAATTTCCAATTATGGGGCCTTACATAAAAGTTTATGTTTATTAAAGCTCTCAGACCCGAATGGATGCCAAGCAGATCTCCCTGAGGCTGCCAGGTGAAGCAAGGCCCCCCGCCCCCCGCACATTCACACCTTCCCAGGGACATCAGAGGCCCACATCATCTTTTGAGACAACCCTCACAGGCTGCTCCTAAGTTAAACCAAGTCTATTATCGTAATGGCAAGTACAGAGGCCCCATTTGGCCCTGCTCCTTTTGTGTAGAAATTAACATTTCTGGTCTGCAAACCTCTCACTTTATCCATTATCCATACCTTCTCTACCTTTCCTCTACCCACAACCTAGAGAGCTGCCAATGAAAACTTGCACCTTTGCCTTCCCAGAAAATGGTCCAAATATATCTAACCAGCTGGCTATACAGGGAGCATTAGCACCCCATCAAAGGACACGTTCCTGGAAACAATACACAGCTGGTCTGCCTTCCTTTGAACTTGGAATTACTTTCCACTCCATTTGGGTAAGAGCCGTTTGTCCTTCCATGTGACAGTGGCTGCCCTGTGTTCATTTCTGCAGTAATCAGGTTGGGCCCAGCTTTCCACAGCTCTACTGGCTTTGTCAGGGGCAGCCCGAGATATGAGCCTGCTGAGTGGGTCCTGGGGCCCCAGAAGTGGCAGTTTCTCGATGCAGGAGATTTGGTAGGAGGTGGGAATCAAATCCAATCAAACTAAATCACCATTTCCAAAAATACAGGCTTGCCCCTACAAGAAATAACCTGCAACAACTCACACATAATTAGCCCATCTGGAATTCATCTTCAAATCTAATTAAGCTCTAATATGCAGAAACATTTTCCAGCACCTGTTCCTTTAATCTTTCCCTCCAGGGATTTTCTTGTTAAATGCCCCCTCACTTTTTTTGTGTCCCGCTATTCGCTTTCAAATTTAACTACCCAACTGTCCCTTTCTGCTCCCCAAGAAAATAAAGATGTTGCATCTCCCTCTCTTCCCTGGGGGGAAAATCAGGTAACTCTCCCCCATGCCCTCACTCAAATGTTCTTGCCAGCCAATCCCTAGCCCTATATACCATTTTAAAAGGCAATTACTTTTTATGGGTGTTAGCAAATGTCAGGCGGAATACACTAAGAGGAAGACATCTTAATTCTAAGTTTGGCAGCCGCCAAAGCGTCAGCAGTTTTATCTCCACCTGAAGCAAGACACTGGGCAAGTCAGAAATCGAGGTCCCCAATGCCACCTCACTAGCTGCTATCAGCTATGTCTGGAAATAGCGGCACCACAGTTGTGACATCAAAGAGAAATCCAGGGATCTCTGTCTTTATTGGCTCGAAGGCATGTGGGCTTTGTGCCAGGACAACAGCAAACCCCACTGATTGGGTGGCACCATCTTGCTTTGGAAAAGGCAAATAAAACCCTTAATGTCTTGCTTTTCTCTCTAAAGAACTCACAAAAAGGGTAACTAGTGACACTACCAGCTTAATCAGATACTTCAAAGGATAAAGCAAGAAAAAACAAGGTTCTCAGAACAAAGTTTCTTAAAGAATCACAGTTGAGGAAAACAATCTGGTCGATAAGCACCTACAGAGCACCTGTTAGACGCAAACAGAACCAGCAGCTGACACTTAGGTGCTCACAGTGCCCGGTCCAGGCTCGACACCACATGCACACGGCCACTGGGTCCTCAATGCATGATGAAGATACGAAGGATCACAAAAATGAGTTAACCTGCCTGAGATCTAACAGCTAGCAGGGGCAGAGGAGGGGTTAGAGACCGGGTCCATCCACACCAGAACTCAGGGGGCTGGCCCTGTGGCTTGGTGGTTAAGTGCGTGGGCTCCACTACTGGCTGCCGGGGTTCGGATCCTGGGCACACACCGACGCATCGCTTGTCTGGCCACGCTGAGGCGGCGTCCCACATACAGCAACTAGCAGGATGTACAACTACGACATACAACTATCTACTGGGGCTTTGGGGAGAAAAGAAAAAATAAAGGAGGAGGATTGGCAATAGATGTTAGCTTAGGGCTGGTCTTCCTCAGCAAAAAGAGGAAGATTGGCATGGATGTTAGCTCAAGGCTGATCTTTCTCACACACACAAAAAAAAAATCAATGAAACAGAAAACAAAAAACAACAAAGAAAATCAATGAGACACACCAGAACTCAGGATCTCAGCAACAGAACTCGCCCATTCTACTCCTCAACACAGTGCTGGCGCCATGGGGTCGGCACACTCCAACTCCACTCTTGCCCTCGTGGGCATCTTGTGGGCGCAGGCCCCTGCCCTGACAGCAGACTCACACCGCGCAAGACTCGCCATCTCCAACTCAAAGGAAAGAATGAAAACCAAGCTCGGACGTTTTTCCTGGACTGGGATATTATGCTAACACGTTGTTCAGAATCTCTTCTCTTGTTGGCAACTTCTTGATTAATTGATAAATTTTCCTGAATAATGCTGGAAGCAAACATAATCTCCTGTGATTAAAACATTTGTTTAAAAAAGTTGAATACTGTAGGGTCTTGCCCCAACAAATACAAAAATGTATTATGGAGCTACAATAAATACATAAATAAATGGATAAATGGATTATGGATCTCAATGTAAAATTAAATTATAAAAGCACCAGAAAAAAATACAGGTAAATATATAGCTTTGGGGGCCCAGTCCAGTGGTGCAGCAGTTAAGTGCGCGCACTCCGCTTCGGCGGCCCGGGGTTCACAGGTTCGGATCCCAGGCGTGCACTGACACACCGCTTTTCAAGCCATGCCATGGCGGCATCCCATATAAAGTAGAGGAAGATGGGTACAGGTGTTAGCCCAGGGCCAATCTTCCTCAGCAAAAAAAAGAGGAGGATTGGCAACAGATGTTAGCTCAGGGCCGGTCTTCCTCACACACACACAGAAAATATATATACAGCTTTGGGATAAAGAATTACTTTCTAAGTATGATGACAAAGGCAGAAATTATAATGAAAAAGGATTAAGGTATCTTTGAAATCAGAAAATATTTCAGCTTCTTTGTATGAAAAGTATAAAGAAAATGATAGCCTGGTATGTGTTTGCAACATATGACAAAGAGTTAACACACAAAGACCTCACAAATAAACGTAAAAATGATGAATCATCTTACAAATACCTAAGCTCACACAGAGGCGATTCACAAAGAAAACACCAATACCTATAAGAGGCTCCTGGATAGCATGAAGTGAGTGCAGAGAGCAGGGTTCCAAGAACAGGGCACCTGGGTGGGCGGGAAGGCAGGCAGGATGAGGGTAGGGCTCGTCTGTGGCACAGCCTGCGAGTGTAAACTGTGCGACCTTCAAAGTGTAAATTTGGAAGAATGCATAAAACTCTTGAAATATATGTTATCCTTCAACAAAATAATGTCAGTTCTGAGAATCTGTCCCAAGTGATTTAGAGCACATGCAAAGGGTGAGCTACGGATGGCCCACAAATCACTGTTGGTAAGCGACAGATACTGGGACAAACCTGTGTCCGGCAGAGGAATAGGTCAGTAAAAGATGGCCCTCAGAGAGTCCCGTGCCCTCCACGGCCAGCTCCTTGAAGGCAGGATGCCTCTGGCTGCCCCTAGGCCCCTCTTCTCTGCTGCAGCCACTTGTCAGCTCTTCTCAGCCTCTCACCACTGACCCCACACCTGCCCTTCACGCCAGGAATCCACTCTCCTGGCCCTCCACCTGGGCCAGCCCCCTAAGAGCAGTGTTCCTAAGCTCTAACACCCTCTTCGTCTTCTGAACAATCTCAGCTCCTCTCGTCTACTTCCAGGGCTTCTATGCAGATAACCTTGAAAATGGCATTCTCGGTCCATACCTCTCGACTGCCTTCCTGTCCCACCATGTCAAACTTTAAACATCAGGCATCTAAACCACCCCTCCACCCTCCACCCTTGCCTCTGCACTACTATTCACGGCAGTTTACAGCTCCAATACCCACCCATTCACCCAAACCACAAACCTGGTTCCCTTCTGGGTTCCTCCCTGTGACCCTGCCAGGCCTATGGGGTTCTCAGCCCCAGCACACCTTCTTCATCCCCAAAGGCCAAAAGGGGCAAACACATGTCACCTGGATTACCTTCTCACTGGGCTCCCCAACTCTGTACTCCAGAATTAATTTTCTACAATGGTGACCTCCCTAGACCTCAACCTGGTTTTCAGCTCCCTCT